TTGTAGAGTTGGAAGTGACCCCAAGGGTCATCTAGTCCAGCCCCCTGCTATGCAAGAATTGCCACTAAAGCATGGGTAGGCAAACTAAGGCCCAGGGACCGGATTCAGCCCAGTCGCCTTCTAAATCTGGCCCACGGATGGTCCACGAATCAGCATGATTTTACATGAGTAGAATGTGTGCTTTTATTGAAAATGCATCTCTGGGTTATTTGTGGGGCATAGGAATTCGTTCATTTTTCCCCAAAAAATATAGTCCGGCCCCCCACAAGGTCTGAGGGACAGTGGACCGGCCCCCTGCTGAAAAAGTTTGCTGACCCCTGAACTAAAGCATCCATGACAGATGGCTACTCACCCTCTGTGTAAAAACCTCCAAGGAAGGAGAGTCGACCACCTTCCAAGGGAGTCTGTTCCACTGTCAAAATATCTTGCCCACAGAAAGTACTTCCTGGTACAACTCTGTAGCGAAGAATTAGAACATGGGCTTTTCTTTTTCCTCCTTCCACCCTGGCATTGTGTTTGTGTGTGATGTATAGTAAAGGTAAAGGGACCCCTGACCATTCGGTCCAGTCGTGGCCGACTCTGGGGTTGCGGCGTTCATCTCGCTTTATTGGCCGAGGGAGCTGGCGTACAGCTTCTGGGTCATGTGGCCAGCATGACTAAGCCGCTTCTGGCGAACCAGAGCAGCGCACGGAAACGCCGTTTACCTTCCTGCTGGAGCGGTACCTATTTATCTACTTGCACTTTGACGTGCTTTCGAACTGCTAGGGCAGGAGCAGGGACCGAGCAACGGGAGCTCACTCCGTCGTGGGGATTCGAACTGCCGACCTTCTGATTGGCAAGTCCTAGGCTCTGTGGTTTAACCCACAGCACCACCCGCATGCCCGTGTGTGATGTATATTAGATTGTAAATCTGAAGGCAGGGGCTGTCTTATCATGGGTATTTGTTAAGCCATTCTGGAAGCCTTTGGGAGGGGATAAAAATGTTCTGTTTAGCTTTAATTTAAAAATAAGAATAATGAAAAATCTGCAAGCCCCATCAATTGCCATCACATTACAAAGCTCTGTGACAACTTGCCAAAGGAAGGTCGTCAATAGTGGGACATTTCCAAGCTGAGCAGAGAAAAGCTTGCTACGTCTTTTTGAATTTTGTTCAAAATTCCCCACCATTCTGGGCTGCCGTATGAATCGAAGCCAAGCCTCTTTGCCTACTGCTAAGCATGCCTTTATCATTTCTAGCAACTTGTGGCGTCTTGCCAAGCCAAGTTAGAACTTGGTTGGGAGCTGGGTTAGGAAGGTTTGGACAGCTGGTGTCTCATTGTTTTTGGAAACGCGAATGCATTCCCTCTCTCCACTCAGGCTCAAGGGAGACCAAGTCAAGCACAGTGTATAAGATGGGCAGGTTTGTGCTTCTGGCTACCATGAGCTTCCCATGGTTACTGATAATACAAGAGCTAAATCTTCCCCAGCTCTTTCTGCCTCTACCCTTATTGTCTGGCTCCCACATCTGTCAATGCAGGGGCCTGCATGGCAAAGGGGAACAAATCCTTTAAGTTGCAGCATTTGGGACTTTTTCGTTTAGAGCAAAAACAAGGAAGAAGAGGTGACATGATAGACCAGGCTCCTCAACCTCAGCCCTCCAGATGTTTTTGGCCTACAACTCCCATGATCCCTAGCTAGCAGAGCCAGTGGTCAGGGATGATGGGAATTGTAGTCTCAAAACATCTGGAGGGCCGAGGTTGAGGAAGCCTTTGAGAGATGTTTATACAGTTGTGCTTGGTATGGAGAAAGTGTAGAGAGAAAAGTGTTTTCTCCCTCTCTCCTAATATTAGAACTTGTGGACTTCCAATGAAGCTGAATGTTGGAAGATTCAGGGCAGATAAGAGAAAGTCCCTCTTCACACAGTGGAAACTGTGGAACTTGCTCCCACTGTTGATGCCCACCAATGTCAATTTAAAAGTAGATTAAACACACGGGTGGCGCTGTGGGTTAAATCACAGAGCCTAGGACTTGCCGACCAGAAGGTCGGCGGTTCAAATCCCCGCAACAGGGTGAGCTCCCGTTGCTCGGTCCCTCCTCCTGCTAACCTAGCAGTTTGAAAGCACATCAAAGTGCAAGTAGATAAATAGGTACCGCTCTGGCAGGAAGGTAAACGGCGTTTCCGTGCACTGCTCTGGTTCGCCAGAAGTGGCTTAGTCATGCTGGCCACATGACCCGGAAGCTGTACGCCGGCTCCCTCGGCCAATAAAGTGAGATGAGCGCCACAACCCCAGAGTCGGCCATGACTGGACCTAACGGTCAGGGGTCCCTTTACACTGTACCTAGACACATTCATGGCAACCTAGGATCTGAAGCAGCAGCCAGTCATGGCCCCATTCCTTGGTGTAGCCTCCTCCAGCCAGCACCATGTGGAGTTCTGCTTCCTTCCTCCTCGTCGTCCCTGGACCTGAAGTTCCCCATCCCTGGTACACAGGGAACTTAGCATTGCAGAACCCATCTTCTGGGTCAAGGATGAGGAGAAAGAAACATTTTCGGCTTGTGTTGTTCAAGCCATTTCGGCGCTACATCCTGCAGTTTGCCTTTTTCCAGCAGACAGAGAGCGGGGACTAGGGAGAACTGCAGCTCTTCATAAGCCAGACTCTCTGCTTTTTTGGAAGCAGGGTGGAAAGCGGGCTCGCCAGATGTCTCTGGGACTGACCTGCTCCAAGAGGCAGCAGCTTGATGAATATCTCCGTGGCTAATTAACACCCGTTTTCCAAAGAGAATGGGAGGGAAAGGGGATTCATGCTCCTCAGATGGGAATCTGCATGTGTGCGTCACACTGTGAGCATCCGTAATAACATCCCAAATGACAGCAGCAGCTTTCTATACAGACTGCCCCTCCCCAGCTCCTACACACACACACGTCTCAGCTCACCCACGCTTTATGTCTGCCTCTAGGTCTATTTTGGACTGCCTTGTCTCTCTTCATTTTCTCCCATTTCCTTTTGCTTCCCTCTAATAGGACAGGCTGCTTCTGTGTATTCTCTCTGGATGACCTCCCCATTTCCCCATGGCTGCTGCACATGACATCACACACACACACACACACACACACACACACGGCACCCACAGTGTTGGGTAGAACCCGGCGTGCCTGCTCAGGTTCGACTTTTGGGCTTTGTTTTGGGGCATCTGGTTGGCCACGGTGAGAGTATAGAACCCTGTCTCTTTCGACAGTGTTCAGTATGCACACAGCAGCCTCTGCCAACATCTCCTCTGTCAAATTGGTGCCACACAATACAGATGCCATGTTTGTAAGAATTGGATCTTTCAGTGTGGCAGCCCCCACACTCAAGAATTACCTGCTTTCTTACAACTGCATAGCAGGTCTTTTGTGGCACCTGTAACAGTGCCAGTTTCACAGACCGAAGTGGTCAAACAGGCCTATTTAAGGTAAGGCAATCCCACAACCTGACTTTGCTGGGGTGCGGTTGGCGCTGTGGTCTAAACCACTGAGCCTCTTGGGCTTGCCAATCAGAAGGTCAGCGGTTTGAATCCCCGCGACGGGGTGAGCTCCCGTTGCTCTTCCCAGCTCCTGCCAACCTAGCAGTTCGAAAGCAAACCCAAAAAGTGCAAGTAGGCCACTAGGGGCGCATCGGAAGATGGCTGACAATAACATCTCTCCGACCCACACGAGGTAATTAAGAGGCTGTGATGGGAGTAAACAGCCTCCCTGCCCCCCCAAGCCTGGGGGGGGACTGCCCTTGCCTGCTGTGCCCTATACCACCCCCGAATTTGTGGGGGTGGAGGCACTAGGCAGAAAGCCCTCCTGTGGATTTCGGCGCTCCTGGAGGCTGTCTCTGGTCCGCGCCCCTGGCTGCAGTAACTTCAAAAGAAACAATTAGGAGGAAGCGAATGCACATATTTCAAGGAAGAAGGGGGAGTAAAGACTGCTAACTGAAGAGATCTCTGATAAACAAGACGGGTCGGAGGAACAAGAATAAATCATGAGAAGACACACCAAGGCTCGGTATGTTCAGCAAGGACTGGATGGGGGAGGGGGGAAAACTTTCCTTTCTTTTCTCTATGTGATTAACCAAGAATCTCCCCCCTACACACACACAAGTCACAAGTCAGAAATGCCGTTTAAATGACTTAAGCTGTGGATTTAAGTCTGTGTGGAGATAATTTTCTAACCAAAGCATGTTTTAAGAAGATCGTGGAAAGTATAAGAGCTTTGGAATGACGCAGTAAAAAATACCGTCGCCATTTTGGCAAGTGCTGTCGGAAGACTTAAGCCTGGGAGGAGGAACAGAGTTGTTTTTCTATTGTGGGTGAGCCTCTTCAGGGGGGCTTAAGAGCGACAGATCTGCAAGATTAATGATGGAAAGAGTGATGTTATTTATGAAAGAGGTGATATATGGAAACCATCTTGATATGAGGATTGGACGAACAGAAAATTCACATAGGATTATAATTGGTTCTTACCTGCTTAAGGAGATTATGAGAAGAGATCATAAAGGAAAAAAGAAAAATATACGAACAAGATGACATGTGGAAACAGCAAGATAAGACTGGATAGAATTATGAATATTATTTGGACAGATTTGTGGACATTAACGCAGCAGCAAGAAGATGATCAGAATCCCCCCTCGGAACTTGAAATATGGGTCCCCTCAACAAAAATTTAAAATTCGGCTTTGTAATTCGGAATTTATGTGATGTGATTTGATTTGATTGGTCGGTTAATAAAAATTATTTAAAAACAACAACAAAAAGTGCAAGTAGATAAATAGGTACCGCTCTGGCGGGAAGGTAAATGGTGTTTCAATGCACTGCTCTGGTTTCGGTGTTCCATTGCTCCAGAAGTGGCTTAGTCATGCTGGCCACATGACCCGGAAAAACTGTCTGTGGACAAACGCCAGCTCCCTCAGCCTGTAAAGTGAGATGAGCGCTGCAACCCCAGACCTTTACCTTTACCTTTACCTTTACCTAACTGAATCCCACATGAAACCAGCAACAGCCTGGAAGTGCCCTCACTTTATTTTAAAATGCTATTCCAAACATCTCACATTTCCACAGGCATTGCCTCTCTTCCCTCATCCCTACTGCTGCACTGAAGTGGCACGTTCACTGACTAGCACGAGCCGCAACAATCTTGGTCATCACAACCTTCTCCCAGTCAAGGCTGGTGCGGGTGATGGGCAGCTGTCTCCGAAAGGACTTCAGGTATGTGCCATTCATATGCTGATATTCTTCCATCAGCCCACCTTGGATCTCGTTTTCTGCCTTCTCCACCAGCTTCGCAAAGTCTTGTGCTGTTTGGGTCTCATCTGTGACCAGCAGGGTCTCCTCGACATCCTTGATGACCGTCAGGTGTGTGTTGCCATCCTCAAAGTAATGGGCTTGGACCATGATGGTGCCAGACACCTCGGTAGAAGTGGAGGCCGGTGCCAATGCAAAAGTCCATTCTGACTTCCACAGGCCATTCCAAAAAGAAGAGGGCTTGTATTGGTGGCTCTCGATGCAAGCCACAAAGATCTTCCGGACAGCTGTGTCCTTGATGAAGACGCTGCAAAGCCCCTCAGGGTAGTGGTTGCTGACATAGACCTTCAAGGCCTCTTGAAGTGCTCTCCTCCACAGTTCACCTTTCTCATCCTCCTCAGGTTGATCCTGGAAATTGCTCGGCACTCTCTTCAGGTGGTCGTACTTGAAGGAGACTCTGTTCTGAGGGTCCAGGAAGCGGTTCTCCTCCAGTTCATTGTGGCGGGTCAGCAACACCTCACACTTTTTGCTTTTGACTGGAGTGAAATGGTCTTTGTTGTGCACAGCGCAAAGGCTGGCCACCTCCTCACACATCATGGTGTCGTCGTCCACCAGCATGCGCAGGTCACTGAAGGCCTCGTTGAACTCTCCCGGTGGCACCTGCTTCAAGAGTCGGCTCACCACCTGGGCTTTCTCTGGCTTTGCTAGGGTGTGGTCCCCAGACTCTTGTTCCTTTGACATGCTTGCCTAGTCTGCAAACGACAAATCATAGGATTTTGAATGCAGTTGACTTGCAAAAAGCCCAAATGGATTGACTTATTTTGATGCACTGGCCTATGACACTTGATATATAAGGACCCACCCTAGTTACTACAGTACTTTGCTTTATACTCAGATAGGTAGCCGTGTTGGTCTGATGCAGTAGAAATATATATATATATAAATTGTCTAGTAGCACCTTAGAGACCAACTAAGTTTGTCCTTGGTATGAGCTTTCGTGTGCATGCACACTTCTTCAGATACTGTTTTTAATTGTTGTGTTTTACATTGTTGTAACCTGCCCTGGGACCTTCTGGTGACAGGTGGATAATAATAATCTCATACTCTGGGTGGCTTCCAACATACATAAAAACATTATTAAACATTAAAAGACTTTGTGATACAGGGCTACCTTCAGATGTCTTCTAAAGCTTGTACAGTTAGTTATCTCCTTGGCTCAGGAGTCGCCTAACTCCACACCCTCCAGCATTTCTCCGATGAAAATAGGGATGTCCTAGGGGAAAGCGGGACATTCTGGGATCAATTCAGAAACTGGGACATCTTCTGTAAATCCAGGACTGTCCCTGAAAAATAGGGACACCTGGAGGATCTTTAATCTAGATATATTTTTGAAAGTTGATCTAGATATATTTTTGAAAGTTATGCTTTTGGCCACGTTTTAATACAGTATATTGCAACCATGGTGGTGGACTGAACCTTTCAAAACTGCACTCATTTTAAACCACTTATTTAAAAACTGTACTGATTTTGTTGGTTTCTTAGAATCACTGAGCAACAGCTGAGTACAAGTAGAAGTAGAAGTAGTAGTCATGATAAATTATTACCTTTTACCACCAGGAACCTTCTGGAATCAAGGCAATTGTTCAAACCCTCCCTTGTTGAGAAGACTGAGGATTTTCTCAAACTAAGTTAGAGCAGGCCCACTAAACACAATGGCATGGTTATCTTAGCTCCATGAATTTCAATAGGCCTACTCTGAGTAAAACTTAGTTGGAGACAAGTCTGGGTCTGTAATCCTATGTACACTTAATTGAGAGTGAGGTCTCAGGTCTATGATTTTCAGTCACGAGTCCAACAATTACGTTTATCACTGAATTAGAATGATTGGCAACCTATAGAAAACTTGATTGGTGTTTGTTCCAATTCAGCAGTAAACAGCAGGTTTTCCTGGGGGAAATGACAGGATGGAAGGGTGGGGAGGAACCCTGCTCAGACCTGTGCCTGTAAATCATTGGCCTGTGCCCATAAATCACAGCACAAACAGAAGTATGGGTGAGCTCACAGTTTAATTGCAGTTACTGGGGCTTACAGGCCTGAGGAGACCTGTACAGAACATTAAACTGAGAGAGAATCGCATGATGACTTCTATCATTGCAGGATTGCTTGGCCATCTGGCACTGTCTTCGCATTGCCTCTTCAGCGGTGGACACCATATTTGGTCCCTGAAGCTGCCTACACAACCTGGGCTGTGTGGAGTCACTGCAGACCAGCAACTAATGGCTTGTGGCCCTTGTCCACGGACAACCACTTTGAGTAACACTGCACTAAGTGAAGCAGAAGCCATATCTTTTTCCAAAAGGCAGCTCTGTCCAAGCTGCAGATGCAAATGATAGCCTCAAGGACAGCATTTTGCCAAACAATCAGGTTACATCCAGACAAGCTGTTCATCATTTGTTGTACCAGGAGGTTACACAACTTGCATCAAAGCGAGTGTAATCCTACATTTTCCACTGCATTTTCCAATCCCTTTCCTTATCACAACAATCTGATTGGGAGGGGGAGATTTGTTACAATTGTGCAAGCTGAATTTTCCAGCCTTTGACTGGATCCTACCCAAAAACGACAGCCTGAAAGCATCCTGCAGTGACTATTTATTGACCATTAATTCTGACTTGTTTATGGAGTGCTTAGGGTGATGTTGAGTCGAGCAAATGTTCTCCCACAGTTCCCAATGCACTGATATGTCACTTTCCTTATCGCAAAAGTCTGCTTTCTGGGGGAGGCAGGGTTGTTCCACAAGACCCACCCCCCAATCAACTATAGCTGCACACCCTGAGTTTGCCAGAATGCGATTGAGTCTGGCTCCCACAGGGACAGCCTGGCAAGGGCCACTGAGGTACCTTTGGTAATCCTCACAGAACTCTAGCCCAATGGTGGCCATTAATTTGATTTGAACTGATTTTATAATGAATTGATTTTAGAATGCTGTATTATTTTACTGTTGTTAGCCGCTCTGAGCCTGCCTTTGGCTGGGGAGGGCGGGATATAAATAAAAATTATTATTATTATTAGAGACTCTTAAGAAGAGGAGTAGTAGCATGCAGGGTTGGCATGAGGTGTTTCGACACCTAAAACCAAAAGCCCCACTGCTGCCCCAAGAAGCTCTTGTAGAGTCTCCATTGCTAAGCAGGTGGGGCTTTGCAGCAGCTCCTCCCTTCATAAAGGTAAATGTAAAGGGACCCCTGACCATTAGGTCCAGTCATGACCGACTCTGGGGTTGCGGCGCTCATCTCGCTTTACTGGCCGAGGGAGCCGGCGTACAGCTTGCGGGTCATGTGGCCAGCATGACTAAGCCGCTTCTGGCGAACCAGAGCAGCGCACGGAAACGCCGTTTACCTTCCCGCAGGAGTGGTACCTGTTTATCTACTTGCACTTTTTTGGCATGCTTTCGAACTGCTAGGTTGGTAGGAGCTGGGACCGAGCAACGGGAGCTCACCGCATTGCAGGGATTCAAGCCGCCAACCTTCTGATTGGCAAGCCCTAGGCTCTCTGGTTTAACCCACAGCGCCACCCACGTGCCAGTTTAAAGCCCCATTGCACTGCCCAGCAGCAAAGCTGGGTGGCAGAACGCCTCTCCTTTTGCTGGCTTGTCAGGAGGGCAGGCATTCTGCAGAGCTTTGCCCCTGGTCCCTCTCTGCCCACAGAGACCAGGGAGACTGGCTGTAAAGGTGTGCCACCCCTTGAGGCAGGGGCAGATCTACATTTTAGGGTGTCCTGAAGCTTGAACTGTTATGGGGGCCCCTTCGCAACCAGAAACAAGGTCTGGGTAACCCCTGTTATCTTCTTCAATAGGGTTGTTCCATGACAGAGCACCACAATGTTTTTTAACTCCGATTTTCATTTAAACTGCTGCACTGGATTGCCTCACATGACAAAGTCTCCAGTGTGAATAAATATGTCCTATGCCTTACAGTTTTCAAGTTATGCGGGGGATGAAAAGTAGGGAAATGTTATACACACACTAATAATGCTGCTTTTGGGGCCCCTGAAGCTTAAGCTTCATTAGTTTCATAGCCTTGGGCTCTGGTAACAGCATCCCAAATATATAATGGCATTTATTTTGTGGTGTACACAAACCAAAGGGGACATAGACAACCACCCCCACTTGAGCATATGAACCTTTAGATGTCCAGATGCAACAGGCATAGTTGTCTTTTCGTGAATCTGTCTGTTTAGCTGGTGGCAAAGTCATGGTCCAATATTGATAGTTTTTGAATATAGTAATTGTTGTTGTTGTCCCTTATTAGTCACCTTTTTTGCTACAGCAGCTCAAAGGCACTTACAATATTTTAAGCAAAAAACAAGCACATACATTAAAACCTTCCTGTGTTAAGATATCCCATCCATGTGAAAAGGCCATAGATAGGAAATAGCCCAAAAGCCTGGCTAAAAATGAATGCTTTTGCCTTTCGCCTGAATGTATGTAATGATGGCAGCCTGGGGAGAGTTCTTAGAACCCGGGAACTGTTGGATGCATTAGGCATCCCCTGTAGCTTGGTAACTGGTGTGGGTGTGAGTTCTTTTATTTTGGTGCTCTCTTTTTCAGTTATTTCAATTGATTATCCTTCCTGGAAGAGCCACCTATGAATGGGGGTTCATGACTTATTACTATGTGTCAAAATAAGAAGACAAAAAGGAGAAGCCAACCCAGAAGCTGGTGTTTCTACCACCAATTGTCTCTCTGATCATTTGTAAGTCTATAATGCTATGCACTGGCTGAGATTGATGGGAATTGCAGTCCAAAACCTTTGGACGGCACCAGGTCAGCAAAAGCTGGCCTAAAATCACTATTATACCAAGACTATAGGATACTGTAGACCTAAGTTATTCCATGTGAACTTGAGACTTTAGAGCATGGAACATTCAGCCCTTCAGAGGCTATTGAACTACATCTCCCATCATGCTTGACCAGCAACCTTGCTGGCTGGGACTGGTGGGAGTCAGGAGTCCAATAACATCTGGAGGGCTGCAGGTCCGTCCCCCCCGCCCTGCGCTTTCGAGCTATCTAGTTGCTCTGATGTTGATTTTACCAAAGCATCCAGGAAAATGAACATTTAACGATCACCTTAATTAGCACCTCTGCCTAATTTGCTAAATGGGAGATGCCTAGATTGGAATTTACAAATAGAGTATAATGATATTTTGATCTGCTGCTCAGTGCATCTGAAATGTGTTTGGTTTCTAACGGTTCTTTTCTGAGCCCAGTCTGAATGAACAGAAATGTTTCACAAATTCAGCGTATTCCCCGCTCTTATCTTTTATCTTTATCATGAGTAGAGTGTTTTTGGCATTCAAGAGGATGTTTTGAAAGCCAGCAGGTTGGAGGGGAGGTAATCAACATCTTTCCCCAAGAGAAAGTCACTTCGACAGACAGCAAGCAGTGCAAGAGAGACCGCAAACAAGCTGCCATCTCCTGACTTCAAAGCCGTCTCAGGTCAGATCGGAACTACTCTGAAGCACCAGATCAGACCCCAAATTGGAGTGCGTGCAGAGCCCTACAAACAACATCATTAACTTGTCCTGTGTGAAGAGTGTCCATCCCATAATAAGTACCCATCTGCAAGCTCCTCTAAGGCTCCTGGGTGCTAGTATTATGAGAGAGGCTTTCTTAGCCACTGTCTCCACCAACTTCATGATTTTGAAAACCTCTGTCATATGGCACATGTTTCCTCTTCAGTTATCTTTGTTTCTATGAATCTTGACCCTGGACCACACAACACTCTGAAATCATCAATAGGAAGGTAGGCTGTACACACCTGAAAAGACACTTGGAGAATTATCCTGACCTGTTTCCGCTGCACTGTTCAAGTTGGGATTTCAAAGTGGTTGCATTCTATGTTCCCATAGCAACCAGGAGATACCTACCTGGGTTCTATATGAACAGTAGCATTACCCATCCCATGAAGGGAGGATAGTTCCCCACTAAAATAACTCAATGACGCATTCTCCAGAGCTTTTAACAGCCATGACTCTCACGTGGTGCATCCCTTAACCTGCTCCTTTAAAACCATCTTCCTTAACCTGGTTCCCTCTAGATGTTTTGGGAAAGGGTCACACTCACACCTTCTTTGTCATTAACAATCCCCAACCCATTGGAAAGGAGAGCAAGAGAGAGATTTGCACCTTAATTTACACTTTCCATTCTCCTTGGCCCTGAGTGAATTGAACCCTTCTCTGAACCAAAAGAATTGGGGGGGAGGGCGTGTTTAAATCCTAGAATACTTAACACATTTGTCATATCAAATGTCAGCAAAATGCCAACAGTGTTATAACTCTCAAGAACTGACAAAGACATTCAGTGTAATTCTGGGCATGGGAGCCTCTGCAATTTCTTTTTGGACAAAGTCATTTTGCTAATTGCAGATTTGAAAAGAAGCATAATTAGGAAGGGAGAGAGAGAATGAGAAAGAGAGAGACAATTCCTTGGCCACAGAATAGATTAACACCATGGGATCCTTCATTATCTTTTATCTGTGTGAGGGAAAGGAGATAATCAGGGAGGTGGAAGGAAGACAGTGCCTTCATTTATGCTTTTTTTAAAATGTGAAACAGATCGTGGTAACGTTGGTTTCTCTAGTATGGATTTTGTTCTTGCTCTTTTTTGCAGTTCTCTTGAGGTCGCCAACAAATACGCAGTTAGAAATGGGGCTCCAGATAATCAAAATGCTTCTCAATTGACCTCTTCTTCACTAACTAAAGTGAAGATAGCAATGCAGGATGCTTTGTGTTGGGTGTTTAAAGATGCTCATTTCGGAGGGAGACAGAAAAGTGTCTGAGGGTTTATCCATACTTACCTTTTGCTCTGCTCTTCCCAAGCGCAGTGCCATGCTTTCAAGCTACCGGTAATTGTCTGAGCACTCTTTGCTCCTCCCCTGGAATTTTCCCAGCAAAAACCTGTTCTTTAAAGCTAAGGCACAACAAACAGCAATTCAGGTGTTCCATGGATTTCCATTTGCTCCAGTTCAGCTTTAAAGAGCAGGTTATCACAGGGAAAGCTCCAGAGCAAAAAGAAAGGATGTTTGGGCATGGGGTTAGGGAAGGATGTTGAGTCTTCTCTCCTTAATAACCACAATGAATTCAGCCCTGCTATTTTAAAGGACGCTGCTGTTCCCACATTCCATGATGCTCCCTGCTCTCTTTGGAAGCAGCCATGGAGCGAAAATCCACTTCATAAATCCCAGAGATTCCTCCAAGCAGCTCCTGTAAAATGAGATAGAGTAAGCAGCTGGTTTTGGAAGAAATTAGTTGCTAATATTCAGTGAGATTTGCTGCGCAGTCCCAAGGATGAAACGATGACTAAATAAAGGTGTGTTGGGGGGTGGGGAAAGTTTCACCCCACAGAATATTCATCCAGTTAGTACTTCTTCAGGCAGATCTTCACAGTACTGTCCTTTTTTGGCGTCACACAGAGAGAGAGAGAGAAAGAGCTTTGCCGCTGACTGCACTTATTGGGGCTGCAACTCAACTCAGCTTCCAGGTGAAGATACATACACAACGCTCACCTTTGCAAGTACCTTCATATTGTAGTTGTATACTTAAAAAATAATTTGGGCATGCATCAGCAAATATATACAGAGTAGAAAGACACAACCGCAGAAGGCAGAGGCAGCAACAGAAGCGACTGCACTTCAGTTTGCACAGGTGGGATGGAGCAGAAACAGCTTTGAATTTCATCTCTGATCGCTATGGCAACCTTCCTTCCAAGGTGATATGAATCTGGTCGCAGCAGCAGCCGAGAGGAGGTAAAGGTCACTCCTGCAGGAGGAGATGGGCATTGATGAAGGCCTTTTTAACAGGTCCCCACGGGGCTGGCCTTTGAAAGCTACCTGAACACTTTGATTGTGAAAGGGAAAGGGATGGAGAGAAAAACCTATTAGAATGGTCTCAGCAAAGCAGCGATAAAGAAAGTGCATTTTCTGATGCAAACAACCCTATCTGTTTCCTGTCTATTGATAAATTTCTGCAACTATTTTGGGGGAGTGTTTTATAGGTCAATGGTTCCCAAATCTTCCCCCCCCCCACAGACCACTTGAAAATTTCTGAGGGTCTTAGTGGACCCCTTAATGGTTTTCCATTTGTAGCAAGTGTAGTGCAGCATGTTAAATGTTGTACAATGTTTACTTGTATTTTTACAAACACACCACGAACCACCTGAATCCATGGGCCACAGTTTGGGAACCCCTGTTATCGGTTATTATATGACATTTGTTGCAATATAGTATTATTGGCAGGGGTGCCAACTTGAATAAAATATTGGGGGGGCAGGTAAGCCCCGCCCAGCATAATCAATCACATGACACAGTTCACGGACACCATTTGAATGGCAATGTCCATCAACTTGGGGTGGGGTACTCAAATATTTTATTGGGGGGGGTGCAAAGTAACCTCAACACCTTGGAGTTGGCTCCTATGCCCACAAAGTTGTTGCGGGGATACAATGGAAGGAGTGAGCCACATGCATAGCATCGAGTTCCTTGCACAAAAGGGTGTGCAATTTTGCTCCGAGGTGGAAGGTATCCCAGCCTTCAAGATGCAGCCCAGGGGGCAACTGTGTCATCAGAATGGGCTGGGGAGTTTCTGAGAGGTCAGGCTGTTGCCTCCTTAGCTGGAAAGGACTCCTGGTGACAAAAGTTTCAGGGGCTTGAAATAAACAAATTAAGGTCTTATATATATAATAAATGTTCATGGATGAGCCAGGCAAACACGTACATAAATGTATGGGCCACAGGTCTGAGGCAGCACAGGAGGGCAGCCCTGGAGCCATTTTGGCTGCCAAACTGACCAAATGTTTGCTCTGCGAGGTCAAAGGAAAATGGAAAGGCCTCCCCATTGTCTTTTCATTCACAAAACCTGTCTTAAGGGTATATCTGTGTATGAATAGGGTGAGCCTGTGACCTGGCTCAGGAACTAAGTATTTGTCACTACAAAAGACTGGCCAGGCTCCCCAGCATAGCCAATCAAGTAAGCATTAACAGGTAACCTGCCAGACAGGAGATAAACAATGCACTCAGATTTCTGTTGTAGACCACCCCTTCTGTGATGTAGATATGATGTGTCTGGGGGTGGTCTTGGACTCCAAGGCGGGCAATTTAAAATGTCTATATAAGGGCAGGCACACCTTTGTTCGGGGTCCTCCTCCTTCTCCTGCGTGTGAGGAGAGCACCCTGTTGCAACAGTTCAATAAAGATCAGGCTTACTAGCTGCTTTGCTTCTCAATATTCTCTGGTTGGCCTCTGTTATTTTCTCCGACCAATGGAGAACCTACAAAGGACTCTATAAGGGCTCTTGTGTCCCCCATAAGGGAATAAGGGCAGATTTTTGTTTATTACAGGCTTGTGTTAGGCAAAATTTGTGATGGCCAAGGCCACGGAATGGGACCAGGCCTCCATTATGTAACCGTTCCCTTGCTGCCTTCCAAAAATCTGAACAAAGTAAGCTGTTTTCTGCCAACAACACCATGAGGCAGATTGAACTTTGCTGCATCAGAACCGTTAGAAGAGCCTGCCGAGTCTTCCTTCTCATTTCAGCTTCGCTAATTTGGACTAATGACTGGGGGAAACGCTCGCTGGTTCATCGGAGGGCAGGGAGAGCTTTGCATTTCATTACCCTCTATGAACCATATTATATATTTGGGCTATTGGATTATAACATTTATAACGGGACGTTTTGTTAAGGTGGGTTGTGGTTGTGAACGTTGCATCCTTCATAGTTCAGACCCCATTGTTGTCATCCCATCTCTCTAGCTTAAGCACCTGAGTAAAAGGAAGAGATAGTTATGCCTTGTATCCTATTGATAACCAGGCTTACTTACTTATGTGCATATTCCTTTGTCTCCTGGATAAGAACCTTTGTTCATGCTCCATTTGGGGAATCAGCTGCTCATCAAGACCTCCATCCTTTACCAGACCACCATTATTTTAATGTCTCCTACTAACATGCATTTCATAGTTCAGAATACGTTTCCTAGGAATTCTATTTACAAAATACCATAGACCGGTAACCCTTAAAGCAGGCTTCTGCTATTGCCCCTGTATTGTGAAATGTCCTTCCCTCTGCCATGTCTTTCTGCCCAAGCTTTCCGTGACCAGTAAGACTGGTCCCTGTTTTTGTTTGGATTCCCTAAACCTTCTTTTAGTAGGTTTTTATGCTGCTATTTTACACCGTGTTTTTGTTTTGTTGGTGTGTTTTTTTTATTGATGGTGTTGTTTATTGTTTTTATGTTGTGTACTACTTGGAGATTTTGAAAATGTTAAGGAGATTATCAATGATTTTAAATAAAAAGAAACAGTGCATCCTATAATATACTAGCAGCAAATTCCTTCTCTGAGAGTAGAATCCTTATGCAGCTGAAACATCCATGCAGGAGAAGCACTAACCCTGAATGCAGACAGAATGTGTTTTGCAAAAATGTGCATATTGGGCAAAATTCCGTACATTACAAACATATGTATATTAGGAGAAAGTCAACTAAAATGGTGATGGATTTGCATGAGGAGTTTTTTTTAAAAAAAACCCAACATGCATAAATGCAGAGAACTGAATTTAGGAATGGGAAAATGAGAGACAGAAAGTGAAATTATTATTAATAATAATAATAATAATAATAATAATAATAATAATTTTTATTTATATCCCGCCCTCCCCAGCCGAAGCCGGGCTCAGGGTGGCTAACAACAATAAAATAGTACAACATTCTAAAATCATTCATTATAAAATTAATTCAAATCAAATTGACAGATTTGCCCACTTTGCATGCAGAAGATCTCACATTCAATCCCTGACATCTCTGGGATCAACTCCTGCCTGAAAGCCTGCAAAGTTTCTGCCAGTCCTTATAGACAATACGGAGCTAGAGATGGACCAATGGATTGACTCAGGAGTGACCCACATGACTTACCCCAAAGACTCCTGGGAACTGTAGTTCCCTGCTTGCCCTTTCCATGATTCTTTGGGGGAGGTCGTCTGTTTTAAACATGCATTGACTGTGCTTTAAACATATGGTGTGCATGTGCCTCTGTGTCACCCTTCATTACTCCTTGCAGGCCAAGGCCACGTCCATTTCCGAGTGTCTTGCTTCCAGATGCCCTGAATCCACTCCACAGATTTAATAGCGCATCCAGAATGGGCCATTTTTGCAGCTTTGAGCACAATCACCTGGGAAGTTCTGCTTTGCACGCCCTGCTGATTATCAGTCAGAGCTCCACAAGAGCACGGTGCCCTTTGAACATTTCCTCTTGAGATCATGCCACAGATTTCCCTCTCTTTCTTCCCCATCCTCCCAAGTCTAGCAAATGCTTTAAACGCTAAATGAGTGCTCTGTGTTCCAAATCTGCCCTGGCTCTGATTTCAAGACAGGAGAAACGCCCTTTTGAACACGGCCAGGCAAGAAATTCTCTTTTTGTGGTGCTTTGTTAATAAATAGCATGGAGTGGCTATAAATAAAAAGAGGTGACTGGATAATTCCTCACCCTCAGCGCTATGTAAAGATGAGAAGGGAGGTGAAACAAATGAAGAATTCCCCACTGCAACTCACCAGTACTCTTAGTTAACTGTGTTTATGTTAGGACAGGAAGCTTCTTCAGCCTGAGGGCCATATTCCCAAATCAACAACCTTTCGATATGTGGAATGGGAGTGGGAAGGAACACCAGTTGTCATCTAGTCCAATACAGGAATCACAGCTAAAGAACCCCGGATAGATAGCCATCCAATCTCTGTTTAAAACCTCCAATGAGGATCTACCACCTTCCAAATTGGTCCATTCCATTGTCAAACAGCTCCTACTGTCAGGTTCCTCCTACTGTTTAGCTGGAATATCCTTTCTTGTCATTTGAATCCATTGGTTCCAATCCTACCCTCTGGAGCAACACAAAAGAGCCTGCTCCATCGTCCATGTGACAGCTGAAATAAAAAAAATTAAGGTCCTATATATATAATAAAGGGACACAGGTGGCGCTGTGGGTTAAACCACAGAGCCTCTTGGGCTTGCCGCTCAGAAGGTCGGCGGTTCAAATCCCCGCGACGGGATGAGCTCCCGTTGCTCGGTCCCTGCTCCTGCCAACCTAGTAGTTTGAAAGCACGTCAAAGTGCAAGTAGATAAATAGGTACTGCTCTGGCGGGAAGGTAAACGGTGTTTCCGTGCGCTGCTCTGGTTCGCCAGAAGCAGCTTAGTCATGCTGGCCACATTGACCCGGAAGCTGTACGCCGGCTCCCTCGGCCAATAAAGCGAGATGAGCGCCGCAACCCCAGAGTCGGACTCTTTTTATATATAATAAATGTTTATAAATGTACCAACCAAGCACGTACATAGATATGTGGACCACATGTCTGGAGCAGCACAGGAAGACCGTCCTGAAACCATTTTGACTCCCAAACTGACCAAATGTTTTCTCCACAAGGGAGGGGAGGGGACCTTCCCATTGTCTCAGGAATTGGGAATCACCATCTCAAAGGAATGGCCAGACTACCAGGAAAGGCAATCAGATAAGGTATTATCAGATAACCTGGCAGACAGGAAAAACAACAACATTCAAATTTCTGTTGTAGACCGCTTTTTCTGTGATGTAGGTATGATGTTTCTGGGGGGTGGTCTTGAGCTCCAGGGCAGGGAATTTAAAATGTCTATAAGGAGGGCAGGCACACCTTGGTTCTGGGTCCTCCTCCTTTCTCCTGCGTGTGAGGGGAGCACCCTTTTGCAACAGTTCAATAAAGATCAGGCTTACTAGCTGTTTTGCTGCTCAATATTCTATGGTTGGCCTCTGTTATTTTCTCCTACTGATGGAGAACCTACAAAGGACTCTATAAGGGCCCTTGTGTCCCCCATAAGGGAATATGGGCAGATTTTGTTTACAACACAGCTCTTCAGATATTTGATGACAGCTATCATATCTCCTCTCAGGTCTTCTCTTTTCCAGACTAAATGTATCCAGCTGCCTCAATTATTCCTCATAAGGCTTGGTTTCCAGACCCTGTATCAACCCTGGTTGCCCTCCTCTGAACACCTTCCAGCTTGTCAATATCCTTCTTAAACTATGATGCCCAGAACTGGACACTGGACTCCAGGTGTGGTCTGACCAAGGCAGAATAGAGCCTATTACTTCCCTTGACCACTAGCCTTCCATTGATGCAGCCTAGGATAGCATTCACTTTGTGTGTATGTGTGTGTGTGTGTGTGTGTGTGTGTGTGTGTGTGTGCTGTATGTATGCACACATCTTCCTACATGCAAAAAAAGTAAGACTGTTGTTACACTGAGGTCCATGTGGCCACCAACAGCATTTAGAGGCAAACCGACCAAAGTTGCCCTTTCCAAAACAAAAGCCGTCCTGTGAAATTCATGCACTAACACATTTTGCAATGCAGTTCTGCAGCCAAGTAATAAGTAAAAAAATGCATGAACTAGACCAGCGTGTGCCTAAAAATGCATATATCAGCAAAAAGAAATACCATACCAAAGGCATGTTATTAAGGGAAACGGCTTTGCAAAAATGTGTATCTTATGCAAAATTGCATACAAAAATGTTCATCAGAAATTTACACTAAAATGCTGGTGAATTTTCAAGAGGGGATATGACCCCTACTCTAGCAAGCACCCCCTCCAACCATTCAAGGCCCTCCAAAACCTGAAACCGGCACTGGGTCTTAAACATCAGTTTCCAGCTCTTAAGATGTCTGAATCCTAGCCCAGAAGAGAAGGCAGGGGAACTTGCAAACGAAAGTAGATTTTCACCCAGAGACCGGAGCTCTTTTAAGGCCATTACCTGCGTCCGTAAAGCAAAAAGCTTTTTCTTTCTGGATAATGAGAGACAGCAGGGGGAGAAAGAACCGCACACCTCTGGGATCAAAGAGCTGAACCAGAAAGATTGGAAGGGCAACAAATCAGGGAAACTTGAGGCAGATAAGGCTTATTCCAGCTGTCAAAACAGTTTTGTCATGGGAAAAGTGTGCAGGCTCAAATCCTTGCACTTAACTCCAAAACCTAGTTGGGAGAATTCCAGTGTTATGACTGAGCACTGATGTCATATTTAGAACATATGCTTGCATGATGCCACCACCCGTTGCCCTCCAAAACCCACCTTTTCCATGAAGCTTGTGGTTTAACCCCTCAAGTCGTCACCACCATTAAAGAAAAGCTTTCATCCCTCAGTCATCATGATCTTTCCATCTCCTTCCTCTTTCAGTTTTGCTCATCTTCCTCTGGTGTCTTAGTTTAGATTCTAAGTGGGAAGGGATGGTTAACATTTTGCCGTTTTGTTTTAATCATTTATATGTTTTTATCCTGTATTTTATTCTGTGAACCGCCCTCAGATCTTATGCTTAAGGGTGGTATATAAAATCACTGTCATCATGTACCTCAGACCAGGAATCTGCTTTCTTTTGAAGCTTAAAAGGTAAAGGTAAAGGGACCCCTGACCAGATGTACATCGTGGCCGACTCTGGGGTTGCGGTGCTCATCTCGCTTTATTAGCTGAGGGAGCTGGTGTACAGCTTCCAGGTCATGTGGCCAGCATGACTAAGCCGCTTCTGGTGAACCAGAGCAGTGCACGGAAACACCGTTTACCTTCCCGCTGGAGCGGTACCTATTTATCTACTTGCACTTTGACGTGCTTTCGAACTGCTAGGGCAGGAGCAGGGACCGAGCAACGGGAGCTCACCCCATCGCGGGGATTCGAACTGCCAACCTTCTGATCGGCAAGTCCTAGGCTCTGTGGTTTAACCCACAGCACCACCTGTGTCCCTTTTTAAGCTTACGTTCCTCAAATTTCAAGCAAGCCTACCCAGACATATACATAGCTCTGTGTATTTGTTTTCAAAACCTTTACTGATTTTATCTGTGTTTTATTAGGTCCACTGCTTAGGTCACCTTTTGATTAAGCCAGGCAGGCTAACAGAGATAGATAAATCATGAGCTCGACAATCTTGAACCCATTCGCCCTCACAAGCACCATCTCAGGTAAATATTTGCCATTTTCTGCATATGGAAGGGAGATCTTCAAGAAAAGGCAAGGTCTCGGGCAAGGGCCAAGATCTTTCAGGGCAGCTTGTCTGAGATGACAGTTGGTAGTATGAGCAAGGGAAGACTTGAGGGCAGAGGTTCAGGGACTCACACAATAGAATAGGGACCCAAACACAGCAGGATTGGCTTACTACAAGACCATCAAATCCAGAATCTCACCTAGCTGATGCTTGGGGTAGGGTTGAGGGGTCTACAACAGGGGTGTCCAAACTCTTTTCAAAGAGGGCCAGATTTGATGAACATCCATGAGGGCTGACCAAAGGACCAACCAAAGTTGTTGACCTTTTAGGATTGAAGTTGTTGAGCCTTTTTAAGGATTTTACCCCAAGAAATAAACTGCCCCACAGGGGGACAGTTTAGGCCCCTAAACTGACTTTGGACATGCCTGGTCTACAGTCAGTGCCAATGCAGCAGGATTTAACCATCACTGGTGAGCAAGGATTTAATCCCACTCTGTATGTTCAAAAGACAAAACTTGGCAGCAACTATTCCAACCAGATGTACATTTTTAAGGGCAGGAGGAGATGATCATCAGCCCTGTCCCTCCAAGGAGGAGCTGACATCAAGGGGTTTCTCAAAACAGTTCTATTTTATTTGAAATCTGCCCCAAGAATAACACCCACCCATGGAGAACTCCACCCAGTTCCAAGAAATCAGGAAATCCTAAGAGTTGATGAGAGGTTTTCGGTTTCTGTGTGACAGCAAAGAAGCAAAAGGCAGGCGAGCCTCCCGTGGCTAGCCCTGAATATTTCTCAACCCACGTCCCAAGAAGGGCAGGTAAGTTCACTGGACAGAAGGCAGCAATGCAGAGAGGATTAAAACAATCCCTTTCTCAAAGAGCAGCAGGTCTGTTAACGCTGACCTCTACTAAATGTCCAGTTCTGGGAACAGAACATCAAAAGAAGTCAGCATCCCTCCATGAGGATGCAGAGAAGGTTTTGATAATAGTACCACCATGGTCTCAGGGTGAATGAGAGGCTGCTGGACCAGAAGACTGCAACCTGGACCGGGGGAACTGTAGACGAGAGAGGGAGGGCCATTGCAAAGGGGAATTGTTCTCTCCAGGCTGCTTTGCACAGAAGATGAAGTCTTTCAAAGAGACACGTGGTAGAACATGCAGTTGTGTTAACAATGGCAAGGAGGTAACTTGGTCTGTGCTGGAAAAGAGACCAGCTACAGTGGAACCTCAGTTCTCGAACCACTCCGTTCCTGAACGTTCTGGCTCCCGAACATTGAAAACCCAGAAGTGTTCCAGTTTTTGAATGTTCCTTGGAACCCGAATGTCCAATGCGGCTTCCAATCTGCAAAAAGCCTAGCTGTCAGCCATTCGGAAGCCGCACCTCGGAATTCAAACATTTCGGATGTCGAGCGTGCTTCCGGAATGGCTTACATTCAACTTCCAAGGTTCCACTGTATTTGGCTTTGTGTTAAAAGCTGGACCCTGGTCGACCAAAGTTGAAAACAATGTTAAAAATCATTTTGGTTGGTAACAAGAATATTTGACCAGGAGCACATGACAACACAAAAAAAGCAAAGTTATCCTAATTGCTCTTTAATAGCCTCACTGCAGATTGTCATGAAATACAATAGAGGTGAGAAAGAGGCGACTCACAGGCAGAGGGAGACACAGACACAAAACAGCACTCGGTGTAAGGCAGGAATCGGGAACCTGCAGTTCTCCAGAGGTTACTGGACTCCCGACTCGCTTTAGCCCCAGCCAGCACAGCCAACGGTCAGAACAACATCTACAGGGTCACAGGTGAGTCCCCCCCCCCCCCCGGCAGTAAGGTCTGACTTCCTCTGGAACAGGGAAAGAGGAGCAAGGGGTTGCCAAAAAAGATCTTTCCTTTCCTCCTGAACTGGCTGGGTTTTTCTCCCCCTCCTTCTCAGAGTTTGCCCTCCCCAGAGGATTGTGGAGATATCCCCTTAGAGAGAAGGCAGAGAGCCTTATTGCAAGAGCAGATGATTAGTGCAATTGTTATCAGTAGTAGTAGCAAGTCATCACAGCAGCCCATGTCTCACCCACAAAAAGCAAAACACACACACATTCACACATCAATACACAGGTTCAATCAATTCAGCAGAGTTTGCACAAGTCCTGAGCTTCTGTGAGATGAGCAGAGGTTGCTACAACCCAGAACCACACAATGCCAGGAGTTTTAGTTGCCGTGGAGAACAACCATCCATCTAAGTTTAGAGCTTCTGAGCAGAGAGTTTTTTGGTTAGCCTGGGTGCCTTCAAACAAAACTGGCACTCCTAATAACTAGGGCTCTGGGTTGGCCTACAATCATTGCAGGTAACCAAATCTGTAACAAAACAAAAAGAGAGGGTTTTTTTCCAGTTGAAAAGCACCTCCAGTTCTTCCAACCTGGTACCCAGGAACGTAGTAGCAAAGGATATGCCTGATGCTCAGCTGTCTCCTGTCAAAATCCATCATAAATTATGTATGTATATATTTTTGGAACAGTGGGAAATTGTAAGTTTTGTTGATGCTGAGATTCTGTCTTCCTTCTCCCCTCTGTTGCCAAGGTTCTTGCAAGGTTCTTGACAGGAGACCTCCATCCTGATGAGCCTTGTGCAACAGCCTCACCTGGAAGAGAAATGAAATAATTAGCAACGGCAGAGAAGTGTGTCTCATAAAATTCAACAAGATGCAGGCCATCCTCACAAGCTGGGTATGTGGCCAACCTAGTCTCTTTGCTCCAAACCCATTTTGGGCAGTGGGCAACCAGCTTGGCTCTGTCAAGCAGTCAAAGAAGGAGCAGCTGAAGGGAGTTTGTGGCTCCCCAACATGCATGGGACGGGGAATACTTTGCTCCCACTGCCAGATACCTGAGGCAGCCAAGTTAAAGGGAGGCACATTCTGGCATTGGCCAAAGGACTAAGTGTCCACCGGGATGCTGCACCCCTTGCCTCCCAGGAAGAAGAACATAGCAAAGGGGAGCCCAGGGTGGCCCCAGCCATCAACCAAAGGAGGAGCAGCTTCTCCAATGTTTGTTTTCCTCTGCCACCCCCATCCTTATTTCCTTAACACGCTGAATCTATTAAATGGTGAGTCCGCATGCCGGGACTGTCTTCTCTCTTAATCTATGTACAGTGTTAGGAATGTTATGTACTTTAATGAATAATAATAATAATAATAATAATAATACTTCAAAAACTAAAGGCAGAGAAAGACAGAAGTACATTTGCCAAAGACAAGAGGTATTTTGCAACACATTCACTATCCACAAATAGGCAACATGGGCAATGCCAGAGAAACAATACTGAGCACATATATTCCTGGAAGGAGGCACATCCAGAACGGCAACTCACACAGAGACTCAGTGGGCAACCTCTCTGACAGAGCAGTGACTGAACCTGCTCCATCTCTCTCTTTCAGGAGGGATGACTGCTGACCAAAAGGCATGGCTGACGCCTCCTAACCGAGGAAAGGGCTTCGGGGTCAATAAGAGGCTTTAAGAGTTTCAATTTCTTAGTGTGCTAGCAGGACTCTTGCAACACACTTTGGGGGTCTACATGAAACAGCCCCAGGATCTGTCTCCTAATGGCACCCAGCGACATCGCCCAGGCAAGATGTTTGCCTTAGAAAGAGCCTCTTGGTGCTACTCCTCCTTCCCTTGGGCTGAAACAGTTCAATGATGGTGGAAAATTCAAGGCTGGCTGTTGCAATCTTGAGTAGTTGTCATTGTTAAAAAAATATTATTATTAATTATTATTATTATTATCATTATCATTATTATTACACCTTGGAGTTTAAGCATCTCAGCAAACTTGTCATTCTTCCCTTCTCCCTGCCACCACATCCCATTTTGGAATAGCAATTATGCCTTCCAAGCAGGCAAGTCAGCCTGCTTGAGAGATAAATGTGTTCAAAAACCAGCTTCACACCCAACACAATCCACCTAGCAGTGTACAGAAAAGACCCTCCAGCTCTCACTTGCAAGACACCCAATTAAAAGCAACCTCCAGAGAACAGCACGCACACACACCCTTGAACAACACAATGCTCGACGTCTGTATGCAAAAGGGCATCTGTGCATTGGAAAGGGGGGATATTCTATGGACGGGTATTGATCTAAAGGGGCCTTTATTATCAGAAGGAACAAAGGTACTGTGGAGATCCAGCTATGATGGAAAAGCATCCCAAGTTTTGATGAATTCAACTGTCTCCTTTTGTACTGTTCTACCGTCTTGCAAGGCGAGGGTTTGTTGAGAGACAGGCTTGTGTGGATGCAAAGCGCTGCTTCCCAGCCTGGCCATTGTCAACTGCACCAGTCCTTCTCGGACCTTTGTCAGGAACATTGAAATGCACATCAGAGGACAGTGATGAGGCTCAAGCTACTTCCTACGGGAGGCGGCAGAGCAGCGGAAAGAACCTCACAGCCCTTCCAGCCAAAGGACACAGCCTTGCCACAATCCTCTGACTCAGAGGTTGCATACCTTGCAGTACCTCTGTAACCCACAACCTTGCTACAAAGTAAGGTGAGGGTCCTTCAACTAGTCAGGCAGCTCCTCCAGGGAACACAGAGCCTACCACACATCAAGTCTGGTCAGCCTAAAGGGAGGTTCAGCTCCCTGCAGAGACCACATCTCTTGTAGCTGGCCTCGGGAGATGCTTTAGCATAGTACGCCAGGGTCCTGTTCTTGCCTACTCTCCACTTGGAGCTGACCCTGCCTGCTTCCCCTGCTAGCCAGTATAGTGGTACCTCGGGTTACAGATGCTTCATGTTACAGACTCCGCTAACCCAGAAATAGCACCTTGGGTTAAGAACTTTGCTTCAGTATGAGAACAGAAATCGCGCAGTGGCGGCGTGGCAGTAGCGGGAGGCCCCATTAGCTAAAGTGGTGCTTCAGGTTAAGAACAGTTTCAGGTTAAGAACGGACCTCCAGAATGAATTAAGTTCTTAACCCGAGGTACCACTGTATAAAGCTTCAGTTGGCTCAGGATCCCTGCAGAGACAACATCTCCAGAAGCTCCTCGGAGCTGTCCAAGGTCCTGTATGCTTTGTGCTTGATCCAGACTTAACAGCTGCTTCCTCAGTGACCTGCAAGGACCCACAGAGCTGGACAGGGTTACTCTTACTTTGCTCTTCATCACAACAGAAAGTTGGAAATGACTCCACCAAATACCGTATTTTTCGCTCTATAAGACGCACCAGACCATAAGACGCACCTAGTTTTTGGAGGAGGAAAACAAGAAAAAAATATTCTGAATCCCAGAAGCCAGAACAGCAAGAGGGATCGCTGCGCAGCGAAAGCAGCGATCCCTCTTGCTGTTCTGGCTCCTGGGATAGTTGTGCAGCCTGCATTCGCTCTATAAGACGCACACACATTTCCCCTTACTTTTTAGGAGGGAAAAAGTGAGTCTTATAGAGCAAAAAATACGGTACATTCCAGGCCTTATTTGTAAAGGGGAGCGGAAAAGGCGAGTGGCAGGGAACACACACTAATTTCCACCCCTGCCCGCAACAAATCCAAAACCTGCAGTAGGCTAATACCTTTGTTAGGACCAACCGAACCCTCACAAAGTTGTGAGCAACTTTTCAAGTTCTCCAGAACTCTTCTTTGGTCTGTATTTTAAAAACAACAAAAAAGGAGGGCATCATATTGAAAGATACCTAAGTCTGCAGCTTGTAACTAAACTTGAAGATGGGGTACATGAACGGAGGCTCAGACTTTGTACCTAGTAGAAGCTGATCTAATTCAAGCAGCCTTTCCCTAAATTCCCACGCTGGTACCCTCTCCAGATGTTAATGACTACAACCCTCATCAACCCCCAGACAGCATAGCCATATGATGTTGGGGCTGATGGGAATTGTACTCATTAACATCTGGAGCTTGGGGAAGGTTGCACTAATCAGATTCCACAAGTGCTAATAATGGTTGATCTTCTTAGTTGGAGATCTCGTAGTGAAGTACTGTCCAATTTATTCATTTCTAAATGGACCAACATAGATATCACTCCCCTTTAAAAAAGTTCCACCCACTCACCCATATGTTTACACCGTCCTCCCCCTCTCCTTACCTATATTTTATATCAAACACTGTGGAATCTTCATCATCCTCATCATCTTCATTTAAGGGGGCCATTTCCACCCGTTCTGCTGGAGTTGTGATGATGTCATACTTGCGGGTTTTTTTAATCTTCCTGCCAGATCTGAAACAACAAGAAAATTATATTGTAGGTATACACAAATACTGTGGAAACAAAACACTGACAATTTATTTAAACCCATCCAAATGGGAGTGGAGAAAAAGATTCAACAGTCCCATTACCAGGCCACTTTTCCAGCCACTCTCAGTTTCTCATTGTTGCTCCAGCTAATACAGTCATACCTTGGATCCCGAACGCCTTGTGATTCGAACGTTTTGACTCCCGAACGCCGCAAACCCAGAAGTGTTCCGGTTTGCAAACTTTTTTTGGAAGCCGAATGTCCGACGCGGTTGACACAGCTTCTGCTTGAGTGCAGGAAGCTCCTGCAGCCAATCGGAAGCTTCGTCTTGGTTTTCAAACATTTTCAAAAGTCGAACGGACTTCCGGAACGGATTCCATTCAAGAACCAAGGTACGACTGTATGAGAAAACACTTGTAGGTGGGGGGGTGGGGAGGGAGGAGAGAGAGAGAGAGAGAGAACATCCTATGTGGGGATTTGAACCAAGATCTGCCTGTGTCAAGGCAAATTCTCTACTCACCAGACCACCACACTCTACTCATTCGACTACCTTTTGCAATTATGTTTGATTTACAAATACATGACCAGAGCATAGTGGGAACTGATGGGATCCTCCTGCATCAGGTTAGCACAACTATTACCCTCCTGCAAATCCCTCAAAACAATTGTGTGCCGCCTCCAGGCTGCTTTCATTCCCATCTGTGTGGCCTTGTTCAAATTCAAACCGGAACTTGTCTCTAGATGCCTTCAGGCCAGATCCCATGAAGCTTCTCATGTCGAGAATATTTTGCCTCTTTTGTTGGTCTGATTCAAGAGTTGCAATCCGGTATGGTTAAGACTCTGATTATCTGGAGCACAGTGTTCACACTTGAATAGGCTTTCATTTGCCTGGGTTGTAAAGACACAAATGCTGCTAAGAAATGAGGATGCCCCACCTTCCATAGCAGGGACCATCACTCTGCACCCCAACTGGGGCACAGACCTATCTGGGGCTTGCTACACTGCATCACTTAAGGACTGTAATTGCCAGTGATTAAACAACCCTTGAGATCTTCTGCTTAATCTGTTCAGCTGCCATTGTAAAGACCGTCTTTGAAATTACTACCATGAACCACAAACATAATGAGCCATTAAAAACCAATATAGCTTTTACAAGCCCATTTAGGAAGTGTCCACAAGATCACCCTATTTATTCCCGATTAATTAGCCCAGAACAAACACTATCCACTAGGTATGATTGCTCCATCACTAACACTGATCAGAATTACTCCTCCCTGCCTTGGGATATGGATTAAAAACAACAACAACTACAACCAACAGACATGGTTTTACTTTCGTGCATCTTATAAACTTCCTTATTGCAAGGTACAGTGAAGGTGGGTTTTGTGATTTTTAAAAGGGGGGGGGATACTTTATCCAGACTTTCAAGCAGAAGGCCAGCCACATGGTCACCCAAATAACATGCTGTGTAAACAACCATTCCTCTGTTTATTCCTAGCTTCACCTCCCTCCCTTTTCTATTGCCCCTACACGGAATTTTAAATTGCAAGCCACTTGGGGCAGGGACCTATCATCTTCCTGGGCCATGCACACTGATAGTGCCATGTAACTAGTAATGGTATCATAACAGTAAGCTGCGCAGGGCAATGGCCTGTCCTGTTGCTGTATCACGCATGCTGATGGTGCCATATAAATCAGAGCAGTAGTAGCAGCAGGAACAGTAGTAGAAGTACTAAGGTTGTAAGCTGAATAGGTCCAAGAGAGCATGGGTACTCCTCTGGTACAAATGCTTGCCATTTATAAGCCATCTTTCTCACCACCTCCCAGAATGACCTTGGCTTTCTCTCTTCAAGTTCCCCCCCTCCCCCATCTGGATGCTTAAACTTAGAACTCAGCAAGAAGACAGCTAGGAGACAGAGGGGGGAGGGGGATGGAGAAAGGTGGAGTCTATGGCCACTCTCACTCAGCCCTTTCCATTCACCAGCTGTGATTCTGACCAAGCACTCAGTCACATGAAGAACAGCTGCTCCCCATCACGCAGAGGCTGCAATCGCTCTCTGTCAGCTTGCCCGCTGATCAGACTGCTCTTCAGCCTTTAATCTATTTTTAGCCAGGCAGCCATCAGGATTAAAAGGATCCGCTCCTGACCCCATGATCCCAAGACGTGGCCCCCTCCCACTCTGAGCCGGCAGCACCACCACTCTTGAGAAGCAAGATTGGGGGAAGAAATACGGTCCTTGATACTTGCAGCTGCAGATCAATACATTCATGAGGCTAAAGCAAGCAGGAGACCCTACATTCATTGTCCCTTACCTGATGCACTCCATATCTTTTGGACTGTAACTCCCATCAGTCCCATCCGACACAGCTGTACTGTTTGGGGGCCAATGGATGGCGGGAGGCTGCCCCACTCCATATTGGAAATAATTGTCCTCCACCATGCACACACCCCAGGATAATCGTGGGAAACTGCGTTGCCATTTCTCATTAGGCATAGATGTAAATCATGGGTAGGCAAACTAAGGCCCGGGGGCTGGATCCGGCCCAATCGCCTTCTCAATCCAGCCTACGGAATCAGCGTGTTTTTACATGAGTAGAATGCGTCCTTTTATTTAAAATGCATTTCTGGGTTATTTGTGGGGCCTGCCTGGTGTTTTAACGTGAGTAGAATGTGTGCTTTTAAAAAAATGCATTTCTGGGTTATTTGTGGGGCATAGGAATTCATTCATTTCCCCCCAAAAAAAATAAAGTCCGGCCCCTCACAAGGTCTGAGGCACAGTAAACCGGCCCCCTGCTGAAAAAGTTTGCTGGCCCCTGACGTAAATAGTTTAACTATGGAACTCTCTCCCACAGGAGACAGTGATGGCCACCAACTTGGTTTCCTAGTTTCTGGAAACCACAGGAGTGGAAAGAGCTCTTGTGCTCAGGTCCTGCTTGCAGGTTTCCTACAGGCTTCTGGTTGGCCACTGTGAGAACAGGATGCTGGACTGGATGAGCCACTGGCCTAATCCAGCACGGTCTTCTTATATTCTTAATGATCCTATCACCTAGGGCTGGTGGAAGTTGGAGTACAACAGAATCTGGAAGGCTGCAGGTTCCCCACCCCAAACAAATTAATCATGGAAGGGCCCCTGATGAATCTGGCACCAGTTCAGAATAGGCTGCACATTGCTGGCCTTCGACATGTTGTTGTTTAGTTGTGTCCGACTCTTCGTGACCCCATGGACCAGAGCACGCCAGACACTTCTGTCTTCCACTGCCTCCCGCAGCTTGGTCTAACTCATGCTGGTAGCTTCGAGAACACTATCTAACCATCTCGTCCTCTGTCGTCCCCTTCTCCTTGTGCCCTCCATCTTTCCCAACATCAGGGTCTTTTTCAGCGAGTCTTCTCTTCTCATGAAGTGGCCAAAGTATTGGAGCCTCAGCTTCAGGATCTGTCCTTCCAGTGAGCACTCAGGGCTGATTTCCTTAAGAATGGAGAGGTTTGATCTTCTTGCAGTCCATGGGACTCTCAAGAGTCTCCTCCAGCACCATAATTCAAAAGCATCAATTCTTCAGCCTTCTTCATGGTCCAGCTCTCACTTCCATACATCACTACTGGGATGCCTTCGACATACCTCTTGGCAAAGTCAACATAGCAGGGGGAAAGGATGATTCACCTACCCAAACTCCAAGGAAAGGCAACACACCAGGCACTTTTTGAGCAGGGCAAAATTTGAGAGTGCAGCGTCGAGGGGAGGAACTCTGCCAATACATTTTACTGCTTTTTACAAAACCGTTCTCTTTCTGTGACATCGCTAAGCCTTTTCACCCCTACATGGTGCTACATAGTTAATTTGTGTAACCCTGCTGGAAAGCCATCAGCTAGTTAGTGTACAGATCCCATCCCATCGTGGAGGGAGCAATTTACCTTTCCATGTTCCACATACCCAGTATATTCCTGTTGGCAAGTCACAAAGGGCCTGAGGCCGATACGAAGATTTCTGCGGGGCCATTACAGGTTGGGCAACACATCCACCCTTTTGATACTGCATCCAGTTCTGGTCATACACAATATTATTGCTATACCTTGGCCATAATCACATGTAGCCTTTAGGCATGCAGAATACCCCTGAGCGGGGCTAGAAAAACACACACACTTTTTGGCTCAGTTTGCTCAAGTGCAAGCTTCAAGTGTCTCAGTGACGTAAGTCACAAGACTGTCCACCTGATATCCTCAAGTGGTACCATTCATGCTTCTAGCACCCTCCATGAAACAACTATTTCCAGGGTTTCCTGGTGAATGAACGGTTGCTAAACTGATTTAAGTCTGCATTATACTATGTCAACCTAAGGTAGCCTTGCCAATCAGTTTCACAAAATGAGCACTAGCCTAGTTTCTACTAGGCTGCTAATTCCAATCACATATATCAATGCAACAATGGCTGTGGGTGTGTTGTGTGTGAAGCTTCCTTGCTTGATCACCTGGAGAAAATTCATATGTGCCACAGGTGAGCAGGCAAGTGGCTATTTGCAGGCTTCCTTTAGAGGAGTCAAATTAACAGACCAGTCATCTCTCGGCCACAGCTCCATGATACAGCACTGGCTTTCCATGCAGAATTTGGCCCCAAATCTCCAGGTAGAATTTGGGAAGCTGAATCACTGCCAGTCCATGCAAACAACCCTGAGGTATATCTGTCCTGGAAGAAGACAGCTTCCTATATTGTTGCTGTTATTCTTAGTTCAATTTCTGAGTTGCTTCCAGCAAAACTCTTGCAACAACTTAGAAAAGTTAACAAAAAAACTTAACACAGATGCAGCATTAGAAACTCAGATATATAAGCTAGCAACCAAATGGCTCTTTAAGCCAGGGTTACAGTCACCAAAACAGAATGTCTAGCTGCCATTTTAGGGCCAGACAGTTCAAAAGTCGTATTTTTCAGTATGACATTTTGGTTCCTAAAATTTGTCCTGATTGTGCAGATAAAATATCAGGGATAGAATTCTACAAGATGTGTTATTAGTGTGCGAAAACAGGCAAAATCCAATGACATGCACCTCCAGATGCTGGGGATGTCAGGCACCATCCTTGCACCCGGGCATCTTCACTTGGTTCCAAGTGGACGATAGCCAGGTGCAAAATGCGCCTGGCGAATTTCAAATGCTGCAAAGAGGCACTCATATAACAAGTAATTGTCAACCTAAAGGTCCTGCCATCACTTACAAAGCTGAAAACACTTAACGTCAGACCATTCACCCATTTAGCTTAGTAGTGTTTACTCTGAGTGATTTAGGAACAGGATCTTTCCTAGCCCCACCCGGAGCTACCAAGGATTGAACTTGGGATCTTATGCAGGCAAAGCAATTATTCTGCCACTGAGCTATGGCCTTTGACACCAACATCACAAGCTTCAAACATTTAGCAATGGGCCGGGGGAGGTGTGCAGAAGTGTAACCTTCAGAGCCCAGCTTCCTCATCCCTTCCACGACATTTCCTCATCCCCTCCATGACAACTGCACCTGCAGCGCCTTCTCCTTTTTGACAACATGACAGGAGAATGACTCATACCAGAAAGACAGGTTCCCAGGAACACAACGATCACTGGCAGGCCAGGGGGCGTTTTAACTCTGTGTACTTAAAAAACTGCTGCTCGTTTTTGCCTCCAAAGCACTAAAGGCAGTTCCAACTATTGTTTTCCTCCACCAAGAGGAATTCCTGTTGGGAGAGGCAGAATCCTCTTTTCAGGAAAGACACATGACCGGCTTTCAGAAATATTTGCAAGCAGTGTAACCTTTGGTCACAGATGCATCCTGCAGAGAGAAAAACACCCACAAAGACAAGCAAGCCTGATGTGGCATCAGGGGAACATAGTTCAGTGTGGAAGGGGACATGTTTTGAATGCAGACAGTCATACATTTAATTCCCAATCGTTCATGTTTAAGAAGGACCAGGTAGCTGTTAGTGGGAAAGGTCTCTGCCGGAGATCCTGGGGAGTCAGTCACTGCCAATACTGAGCCAAAGGCAAATAGTCTGATCCTTTTACCACAGTTTCTGATATCCCTAGTCCTCTGTGCCATCAGAAGAGAGATTGCAAGGAAGGCCTTAGCTCAGTGGCAAAACATCCCAGGTTAAATCCCTGGCATCTTTCTGGTAGGGCCTAAGAAACACCCTTGTTTGAAACCCTAGAACTGGTTTCCAGCTGTTTTTAGACTACAAATCCCATCATCCTGAGCTAGTCAGGGATGATGGGAATTGTAGTCCAAAATCAGCTGGAGATTCAAGTTTGGGAAACCTTGCCCTAGAAAGTCCTTGCTGCCAATCAGTATAGCCAATATTGAGCTAGATGGACCAATGGTCTGCTTCAGCATGAAAAGCTAAGAAAAGACTTAGCTTCCACTTAGCAAAGCACTTGGTCCAGTTTACCACTGGAAGTGCGAGATTTTCAAGTGTGCAGACAGTGGGAGGCTGTCCAGGTGAGGCTGTTACAGGACTCCTTAGCTCTGCATTGGAAGTGACTTTTCCTCTACTGTTCAAAAAGTCAACGAAGAATGGTCAATATTCAAAGAATATCTCAAAAATTATACGGACAACGCAAGTCTCCTGGCAGACATAGATTAAATCTTGTAAATAAAGAGAAGGTTTAGTAACACTAGTTTAGATAATTGTTAAGAAAAAACAGAAGAACAAACATGACATGCGTATATAGATATGATTGGTAACAAAGCTCAAGGAGAATGAGTCGGAAGTCTACTTTGTGTGGTGTAAACGTCAGATTGTAGGTATGTTGGGTATGTATTGGGTGTGTAATGTTTGTATGTATGTATGTAATATGTGGTTTGATATGTGTATAGTTTAATGTAAATTAATGTATAACAAGAATAAAGATTATTTTAAAAACAAAAAAAGGAAGTGACTTTTCCTTACTGCCATTCCCCAGGGAAACTCTGTTGGAACAAGGTCGGGCAGGGGGTACCTTGCACCTTGTGTAAACCCTGCTCAAGAAACTATGATTCAATTATGAGAGAGATACAACTCTGATAGGTCTTTTCAAAACATACACACACATGTACAGCAAAGCTTGCAAAAGGCAGAGAGCACCCCTCCAAAACATGAAGGGTCCAGTAAAGATGGGGAGCAAAAAAGACCCCTGAAAGGGGAATCCCATCTCCACCCCACCCCCCATTTAAAGAAATGCAGTTTTCATGGTAGATATGAAAAGAGATGGGGGAATAGGCAAGTCACTCTCAGCTGGAACATGGCAATAATAAATACAGCCCAACTTTCTTAAAGGGTTGCAACAAGGTTTACTGAGTTAGTATAGGACATGGGTAGTCAAACTAAGGCCCAGGGGCCAGATCTGGCCCAATCGCCGCCTAAATCTGGCCCACGGACTGTCCGGGAATCAGCATGTTTTTACATGAGTAGAATGTGTCCTTAAATAAAATGCACATCTGGGTTATTTGTGGGGCATAGGAATTCATTCATTTCCCCCCCACAAAATACAGTCCGGCCCCGCACAAGGTCTGAGGGACAGTGGACCGGCCCTCTGCTGAAAAAGGTTTGCTGACTCCTGGTACAGGAAAGCCTATTTTGCAATGGGTTTTTATCCCTTAATGTTAAGAATAAGACTTCTGAAGATGCAGTTTCTATGAACAACTTCCAGCTCTAAGGGAATAGTACAATAAATAAGCCTTCCCTGGTCTGGAGCCCTCCAGATGTTGTTGGACTACAACCTCCATCATCCCTCACCATTTGCCATGCTGACTGGGGCTGATGGGAGTTGTAGTCCAACACCTGCAGGCACTAGGTTGAGGAAGCCTGCAAATAAATGTCAGAACAAAGCAGTTTGGACATGCTAAAGCACTTATGCCAATACTGACTAGTCTTTTAAGAAACAAAGTTATTTCAGAGTGAGCCCCAACCCTTACTACATGAGAATAACGAATACTGACCTACCTTACAGGGCTGTTGTGAAGATTACCGATTTGATGTACATGAAGCATATTAAGGTGGCAATCCAACATAAACTGTTTGAGAATAAGCCCCGCTGAAGGTGGCGGGGTTTACTTCTGAGTAAGCATTGTAGAGGACTGCGCTTTAAATACTAAAAGGGCAGGCCACTATTTAACTAGGAAGTACTACTGGCAAGCAGCTAAAGAAGCAAACCTTTTATCTCTCAGCCAATTTATAATATAGTGGACAACTGATACTAGCCTACCTTTCTGAATCATCATAAAGATTACCAAGGTAATTTATTCACTTGAGGTTTACATCCGCCTTTTGCCCAAAGGGAAACAAAAGCAGTTTGCAGGAGCAACATGAAACATGCACATCGCCCATTCAAAAGAATGTGCAATCTGATAAAAGACGTTTCTAATGTGCACGAAGTACTCTGGGCGTACCAGACAATGCCTCCAATTGTCCTGCCGCCTTTAGATGACACCCTCCACTCCGGCCCACCATCACCACCCCCTTGCCGAAGGGTGCCAAAGAAGCAAGCTGGGCCATAGCTGTTAACCTTCCCTTTTTTTGCGGGAAATTCCCTTATTCCAGCGCCGTTTCCCGCTGCTATCCCGGATTGTTAGACTGTCCCCGGGACAGGTGAGGCTGCTGATCCCTTATTTTCGAGGCTGATGATCCCTTCTTTTCAAATCTGAAAGTTGACAGCTATGAGCCGGCCTGGGTGCGGATGGGGGGCTCCCGGCCTGGCCTCCTCTTGCGCCCACTGCAGCTTCCCAACCCAGCAGGCTCGCGGCCGCTCCAGTTCTGCGCTGCAAAAGGCAGAGGAGCCGCGGGCTGCGGAAGCAGCTGGCAACCCCCCAACTACGCACCTGAGGACGCGGAGGAGCAGGCAGGCGATGAGCCCCACGCTGGCGGCGCAAGCCCCGATGACGGCGGCCTTGAGCGCAGGCAAGTCCCGCAGCAGAGCCCACATGGGGCTCCGCTGGGCGCCCTCGCTGCGGTTCCCGGCCGGCGGCTCCGAGAGCCCCGAGCTGTTGGAGCCGGAGCCCGAGGAGGAGGCAGCGGCAGCGGCGACACTGGGCGGAGGAGCCACGGCGGCCAAGGCGGGCAGGACGAGCAGGAGCGAGAGCCAGAGCAAGGCCGCCACGGCGCCCGGGAAGGTGCGCATGGTGGCCGGGAGAGGAGCAGGCAGAGGCGGACTCAGCTGCTGGCCGGCGCCGCGGCGCGTCCTTCCCTCCTCGCTTCCGCCTGCTGCCCGGCCTCCCACCGCTTCTCGTCCCCGATGAGCCGGATCAGGGCACGCGGAGGGGCGGGTAGAGGAGGAGCCGCCGCGGCCGGGAAGGAGCGGGCAGCAGATGGGCCTGGGCGTCAAGAGGGCCCCTGCGCAAGTGCAGAGGGCTTCCGCCGCGCTTCTTGCCACCTGCAGTGCCGAGTCATCACGGCACGAGGAGATCCAGGATTGCCCCTCCCCGCCTCCGTCACGGTTTCTTTTTTTTTTAAGGTAGAGCACCCAAAGGTGAGCGCCAGCACCCTGGGCAATATTTAAGGGTGCGACGAAGGAGGAGACGGGGTTAATGGCAACCCGATCCTATGCGGTTCCGCTCCCAAGCAAGCCTTGGATGGGCAGGATCGCTCTCCCTTCAAGGCCTGAGCTCATTAAATGGGCTCATCCCAGAGTCACTGTTATTATTACGACGTTTATATCACACCTTTCTTCCAAGGAGCATACTGTTCCCCGCCTCTCCATATTATCCGCACAACGACCCTGTGAGGTAGACTAAACTGAGAGGCAGTGCGTAGTCCAAGGTAAGCCAGTGAGCTTCACAGTTTGGGGGGGGGCGAGATTTTATCTCCCAGGTCCTTGTCCAACACTCCATAACACTGTACAGTTGTACCTCGGGTTACAGATGCTTCAGGTTACAGATGCTTCAGGTTACAGACTCCGCTAACCCAGAAATAGTACCTCAGGTTAGGAACTTTACTTCAGGATGAGAACAGAAATCGTGCTCCGGCGGCGTGGCAGCAGCAGGAGGCCCCATTAGTAAAGTGGTGCTTCAGGTTAAGAACAGTTTCAGGTTAAGAACGGACCTCCGGAATGAATTAAGTTCTTAACCCAAGGTACCACTGTACAATACAGCCTCTCTGGTCATAGGGTCATCATGTATCCAGTTCTGGTCCTGCTCTGAGTAGACCCATCAAAATGAATAGATGTGACTATCTGGGCACCATTAATTTCGTGGAATCTACTCTTGTGTACATCTTGGATACATGCCAGTGCCAAAGCAAAGTTTATTTATAAAAAGTGTTTTCTGCCAATATGCTATGATCAGAGTGGGTCACAGAAGACCATTTTAGTACAACAGTGCAAACGCCCTAAGGAATAAAATTGTATGTCCCTCCAGACAAGCTTTCCTCAAGCTGGTGCGCGCCCTCCCCCCCAAATGCTACTGGACTCAATTTCCATCAGCTCCAGCCAACAAGGCCAATGGCAGGAGCTGTAGTGGCACAAGCTCAGGAGGGGACTTCATTGGCTATCCCCGTTCAGCATGTCTGAAGCAGATTCTTTCCCTCAAAGAATTCTGGGCACTGTTGTTTTCTAAGGGCTGCTGGGAATGGTAACTGTGAGACCCAGAATGCTTTGAGGTGGGAAATGCATTTCGAATGTGCTTTAAAGGTCTAGCCTAATCATACTTGACACAAAAAAGCAGGAAGTTTGCCCAAGTTACCGGTATTTGGTGCTTCTGAGGAATAATCACAGGTGGTTTGTTTGCTGCACCAAACTGTATTAAGAGGGGGGCAGATGGTGCTTTGTCTCCTTTACTGCAAAAGACCCCAAAAGTAATAAACACAACAGCTATTTTTCTCCCTGTTCCACCAACCAACCACCCATTTGGGGAACCCAGGCTGAAATTGATCTGGTCAAAGTAGCTTCAATGTGGACTTGCAGTGATAGAGAAAGCGCTGGCAAATACTGAGGATGAGAGAATCTTGGAATTGTAGAGTTGGAAGAGACGCCAAGGGCAGGGCCGGATTTAGGTTTGATGAGGCCCTAAGCTACTGAAGGTAATGGGGCCCTTTATACGTCCAGCTGTCCTTTGTCAACAACAAATTGCCGCTGTTTTTTGTGTTGAATATATGCTATATGGTAACTTATGGACCTAATAGGTATCTAAAGCCATTTGCACATGCAGAATGTAGGCACCCTATATATAGAAATGAGCAAACCAGTGATATTTTAGGGAGTAGACTAGCAGGCGGGGCCCATTACTTACATCATAGGAGCCTACACAACACAGAACACTGTTGCTGTATGTAGGTTTTATTTTATTTGTTTTTTATCTTATATTTTTGAAATTTACATCCAGGTGTTTTTTCCTTTAATTTTTTTGGGGGCCCCCAAGAGAGTGGGGCCCTAACAATAGCTTGTTTAGCTTATACATAAATTTGGCACTGGCCATGGGTCGTCTAGTCTAACTCCCTGTGGTGCAGGAATCGTGCATTCTGAGCATGTGCAAGAGCTTTCTGGTGGATGAATTGCACAGATTATTCTAATAAGCAGCAAGAGCAGGTCAAGGCATCTTGCAGGCTCCAAGTGGCTACTCCAGGCTTCCTCAATCTCAGCCCTCCAGATGTTTTTGAGACTACGATTCCCATCATCCCTGACCACTGGTCCTGCTAGCTAGGGATCATGGGCGTTGTAGGCCAAAAACATCTGGAGGGCCGAGGTTGAGGAAGCCTGGGCTACTCCTTTGACCAGCCATTTACTCAGACACACATACACACAGAGAGAGCAGAGGCAGCCTTTATAAGGAGTCCCCGGGAGAATGGTCTCTGATTGCATACAGCAAAGGAAATAAGCTCCATTGGTCTTTCTCAGCCAATCAAGATACTGCATCAGATGCCACCCACTCTCAGCTTGAAAAATAAACACTGTTCTTTCCCCCTCTCCAGCCCAGAGATGACTGGGGGAAAAGCAAAACGGGCTGTCCCATTCTTTCACAAGATTGTGGGCCTCCAAGTTGGGAAAGGGGCTTCTGGGTGTGCAGAAAAAGACCTCTCCTCTCCCCCAAACTGCCCACTCCTTTATAGACCCATGTTCAGATTTGCGAGCTGCCCACTTCCCTCTCTGTTTTCCCTTTCCTTATTCATCTCTGACCTTCGTGAAGGATAGCAGGAAAAAGAAGGTGAATGCTGAGAGTTCTTCCCCTTTTCTGGGCTTGTTCACACATGTGGGTTAACCTCAGTTCGCTGTCTCAGGGGTTATGAGCAGCATATGTTTTGAAATGCTGCTAGTGGGCCCTTAACAAAAAATAATTAGAGAGCGTTCAGCTGGTGAACAGAAACTTACTATTAATCAACACAGTGCTTTCTTCCAATACGATCCTGCCCCTGGTTTAAGATTTTATTTTATTTATTTATTTCACAAGATTTCTGTACCACTTGCTTGCAATCACAGAATTGTAGAGTTGGAATGGATCCAATGGGTGATCTAGTCCATCTCTTTGTCTAAATCACAGAGCCTAGGGCTTGCCGATTGGAAGGTTGGTGGTTCGAATCCCCACGACGGGGTGAGCTCCCATTGCTCAGTCCCAGCTCCTGCCAACCTAGCAGTTCGAAAGCACGTCAAAGTGCAAGTAGATAAATAGGTACCGCTCCGTCAGGAAGGTAAACGGCAGTCATTTTTAATTTCTTGTTTTATAAGTTTTACAATTGTTCACATCATTGGGAGTACAAATGATGTTAGTTATAAGAATTGTGTTGTTTCATATATTGCTATTGCCTGTTTGTCAATTTATAGTTTGTTTATTTGATTGTATGTCTGTCTGTTGGATTGTTCGCTTTCCTGGCATAAATGTATCTATTTTAAAACAATAAAGATACATCACTCACACACATACACACACACACACGAAGGTAACAGCGTTTCCGTGCACTGCTCTGGTGTCGGTGTTTCATTGTGCCAGAAGCCGCTTAGTCATGCTGGCCACATGACCTGGAAAAACTGTCTGCAGAGCAGACAAACGCCGGCTCCCTTGGCCTGTAAAGCGAGATGAGCGCCGCAACCCCAGAGTCGTTTGTGACTGGACTTAACTGTCAGGGGTCCCTTTGCCTTTTTAAAAGAAAATAGTTTGATCCGCTGTAGAGGTCTACCGAGTATGCTTCTCAAATTGGGTCCCCAGCTGTTTTGGGGCTACAACTCCCATCACCCCTAGCTAGCAGGACCAGTGGTCAGGGATGATGGGAGTTGGAGTCCAAAAACAGTTGGCAATCCAAGTTTGAGAAACACAGAGTGCTGTGCATTCACAAAGGAATGGGTCTTCTGGAAGTGGAAGTTGCCTTATAGGGAGATCCCTGGTGCTTCTAGCTCAACAGGGGTCACCAAAGTGGTTGTGGACTCCGATTCCCATCAGCCCTAGGCACCATGGCCAATAGACAGGGTTGATGGGAGTTGTAGTCCAAAAGTATCTCATTCCAAAAATGAGGAGCCACCACTAAGAAGGCCCTGTCACAGGTTAACCCCAATAGTATGGATGCTGAATCAACAGGTCATCAGGAGGAGTCCTCAGACAAACCTCCTAATGGTGAGAGTTATTTGGATGTGCGGAAGTCAGGCTCAGAAGATAGCGGGTTCTCCTGTGATGGAAGCATTTACAATGGTACCTCGGGTTACATCCGCTTCAGGTTACATCCGCTTCAGGTTACAGACTCTGCTAACCCAGAAATAGTACCTCAGGTTAAGAACTTTGCTTCAGGTCAGGATGAGAACAGAAATCGTGCTCCGGCGGTGCGGCAGCAGCAGGAGGCCCCATTAGCTAAAGTGGTGCTTCAGGTTAAGAACAATTTCAGGTTAAGAACGGACCTCCGGAACGAATTAAGTACTTAACCTGAGGTACCACTGTATTCCAAAAGAGGGCATGGCTGGACAATAAATATAGAGAAAATAGAAAGAGGGGAACTGCATTGGTAAGAGAAGATAAAACAGGCAGAAAGGATCCGTTCTGGATGCTGAAAGCATGTTTTCATAGTAGAACAATTTAACAATCCATCTTGAAAAGCTGTTGTGAGGGGATGGGGGGCAAGAAAGTGGGCTGGCCAACAGAGCCAAGCCCTTTGCTGTAGCTGAGAGTAGAAGAAACAAAGGCCAGTGAACCGGCGTCACCTTCTGCTGTTTGGCTGGCTGGTCGTGCTTGATGTGCCGATTAGGCTACCTAAATGTAGTGGACAAATTCTCTATCTCTCCCTGCTTGTTTTCAAATAGGATTGCTTGGCAGGCCAAGTCTTCAGACCAGTTCTCCTGCTTTTCAAGCCCCAGCTATTCTACTTGTCTCCTTCAAGAGAACATGCCAAGCGCCCCTGCTCCTGCTAATTTCTGACAGACTAGGAAAAGAAATAGGCTGTGTACACACTATATGTTTAAGTGCATGACTCCCCCCCACAAAAAAAAAGAATCTCAGGAACTGTAGCTTGTTAAAGGCGCTTGGAACTTTAACTCTGTTATTGGTAAACTACAGTTCCCAAGATCCTTTGGGGTACGCCATGCACTCTAAATGTGTTTTAAATGTATGAGGTGGCTATGGCCTTAAAGACTGCCCATGGTTTACTGGGGCGTGGCCAAAGTGAATCTTTTATTGTGGTGTGTTGTGTGCTTGCATTTCATTCTTGTGAATCTGAATCTTAGTTGCTGGTGGCAAACCACACAGGAAGGGTTAGGGGCTGTTATCTCCCCGTCCATTTTTTAAAAAACAACAACAATATTTAGAATTTTCAGGTTTATACATTTCGCTGTTTTTACAGTCATCTTGACATTTCAGAACTTGACTTCCTTCCCCCTCTTTCTGTGGTTCCTTACATTTATTTTTAATATCTTCTGCATATCCAAATTAACTTAACTTGCTCATTTATTTATCTTCTTTAAATATATACTCTTACGAAACTGTAGGTTATTACAATAATCCTGCCAATGTTCTTATCTATTTATAATTTATCTGTAAATATTCAATAAACCATTTCCATGCTTTTATAAAAAGTTTGTTATCTGGATTTCTTAGTCTTACGGTGAGTTTTGCCATTTCTGCATATTCCATAAGTTTTTGTATCTATTCTTCCTTTACTGGGACTTCTGCTTCTTTCCATTTTGGGGCAAGTAACATTCTTGCCGCTGTAGTAGCATACATGAACAAATTTCTATACAGTTTAGACCAGGCATAGGCAAACTCCGGCCCTCCAGATGTTTGGGACTACAATTCCCATCATCTCTGACCACTGGTCCTGTTAGCTAGGGATGATGGGAATTGTAGTCCCAAACATCTGGAGGGCCGGAGTTTGCCTATGCCTGCTTTAGGCAGTTCTGTCCCTATAATTTGTTATCTCCCTGCCCTGCCTGGGCCTCAGTGCAAGAAAACAATATTCATTGATTTGATTTGCAGACCACTCTTTTCCAGAGCCTTCAGTATGGTAACAATGGGTAACAAACAAAGATCATATCCATACATTTAAAGCACATTACTCCCCCCCTCCTGGGAACTGTAGTTTTTAAGGGTGCTGGGAGTGGTAGTTCTGTGACAGGTAGACTACAGTTCCGAGGTGAGGGTAATTTACATGTGCTTTAAATATACGCACCTACAGCCAGGAGTTGACATTTTAATCATAATTTGGCTATCACTTTAGCTCAGCGGTGGAAACCCTCAGGGGGACCTAAAGGCCTCTCTGCCAGGCCCCTAAGACTAGCCCAGCCGAATCCCTTTTCTGAGTGCTTTCTCCACGCTGGGATGTGCCCTTCAACTAGGATAATGCCTCTTCCTTGCACCTGCATGGAGACAGGTGTGCTTAGAAACCAGTAGCCAAGGCTACTGATTGCGAAAAATTGGAAAAGTGGTATTATACCAACAAAAATAGAGTGGGTTGCCAAATTATTGGAATACTACAATATATCCAAAACAATGGGATAAATTGGAAGGATCTCAAAAGAGAAGATAAACAGGGACTGGAAGGTGTTTAAAGGATACTTGCAAAACCATGTTGAAAAACCAGAACTCCTATTAGAATAAACAAGTTCCGTTTTAAATACTGGAATACTAAATAAGATGGGTAACAATGTGTAATAGAAAAAGAAGCATGAAATTAGGTTAAAGGTGTGTGAAAGAAAGTAATAGAAGTGGAAAGAAATTGCAATTGAGTAGATTGGAAGTCTTAACACAAAGGTGGGGTGAGGGGTGGTGGGTGGTGATGAGAAAAGGAATTATCTGTGGACTGAGTGTAGGTATGTTTAAACATTTTTAAGGATTGTATGAAATGTATATTTGTATATTCACAATATGTATTAATGCTGAATTATTTTAACAATAAAAACTTTTCAAAAAACACACAAAAGAAACAAGAAAAAAAGAAGGGGGGAAGGTGTGCTTAGAAACCTCTGACTTATGTGTGGCCTGACAGAGTGAGTCACATTTGTTGCCCCGCCCATTTTTCCTTTGGCCCTGCCCACCACTGGAATGCAGGCCCCGCCCCTTAGGAATTCGGCCCTCAGCCTGAAAAAGGGGTCCTTCCCCCTGTTTCAACTGGGTCTGCACACTTTGGCCGTTCAGCTGGGAGAGCCCTGCCTTGCGGCCGTCTTCCTTCCACCCTCCCGTTCAGAACCCTTAATGGAAACTCCTATCTTTGTTCCAGTCGGTTTCCTCTTTGTTGACATTCGTTAAAACAATCTGACGGGCAGTGAAAATTATTTAAGAGCCGACCTTGCTACATCAAAGCAAAACCGCTTTTGCAGCGTACACGGCTGAGGTCGTTTGCACAATTGGAATGCGAGGCTGGGCCAGTTCTTGCAGGACGTCTTAAGAATTTGCAAAGTAGGAAATGCGTTCTCCCCACCTTTAAACGTGGGAAAGAAATATACAAAACTGAAGAAGAAACGAGAGTACAAAATGGACAAGAAGGTTGTGAAATCAATATAATGTGAGAACAGTCTCTTTGCTGCCTGCTAATAAGAGTCTGTTTGGGGCTTCTGTAAATAAATCAGAGATTGCAAATGGGCAAAATCCAGTCCTCATATAGTACTTTTAATAGTCTTAATTTAAGTAAGAGAGTTAGGCACCTGCTTTAAACTGTCCCACTAAAGTGAATGGTAGTTAAAGGGGCTGTAACAAGCTCCTCTGTTGCACCTAGAAGGCCAACGAGTTTATTATGTCATAAGCCTTTCTGGACTGCAGTTTGCTCCATCAGATGTATGAAGTGTGCATGTATTAACGACTGAGGAGAGATTTTCAAACAGTGAGGCAAGGGGAAACAAATGCAGAAAAGAACCAACTGCAATAATTATGTAATTAACAGTAGCAACTGACAAAACAGTTGTCGGAGACACAGACATCTTGGCGTTGGTAAGCCAATTAACACATGCTATAAAAAAAAATTCTCTTCACCCAATTCGCAATGACAGCATTGAACCTTTTGATGTATTGTACTGCAGCGATCTCCCTTTGAACCAACCAGTCAGGTCTGAGGCCAGCATTAAGGACATGGAGCCCGTTATCTCTGCAAAGTGCGAGGCTCTTGTGAACTCCAAGTGCGCGTGCCACGAAAAGACACTTGCTGCACTGAGAAAGGCAAGGAGCCGTGCCCAGCATTTGACTCACGGCTGAGAGCGGCAGCACTCGCAAAATGTACAAAGGCGTCAAGAAGGCCTTTGGACCAACAGTCAGGAAAACTGCAGTGCTGGAAACCTTGTCTGGAGAGATCATCAAAGGCCACAGCAAGCAGATGAAGCAATGGGCAGAGCACTATCAAGAACTGTACTACGGGAAAACATGGCAGTCAACAGTCTCCAGATTCTGCCTGCCTTGGAAGACCTGGATTTCCCTCCCTCCAATGGCCAGCTGAAGAACGCCATCAAAAGTGGGGGAACTTTAGCCCTCCAGATGTTGCTGAACTACAATTCCAACCATCCCCGTCTGTTTGCCACGCTTGCTAGGGCTGATGGGAGTTGCAGTTCAGCAACAACTGGCAGGCCAGAGGTTTCCTACATCTTCTGTAAACCTTAGAACTTCTTGCTGGTCAGGAGAGTACAGAGCAAGTGACAATCCTCAGGGCCGGATTTAGGTTTGATGAGGTCCTAAGCTACTGAAGTTAATGGGGCCCTTTATTGTTGGCTATTTGCAGTATAGTAGCGCTGCAGAGAGCTTGCTGGGGAGACCATGCATTAAAAAGGGACTCAAAAATAACTTAAACAAGGTTTTAATTACAAAAACAAAAACTCCTTTTACACTAAATACATTAACAAACAAACATGACCCAACCACCAACCCATCCCCCAGGGTAATGGGAGAGCTAGGTGCTGCTCCTTATATACTACACCCAATTGCCAACACAGCTTAATCAATACAACTCAGCAGCACCTGCTATGTTTCACAGCTGTAAAGCTGGGTCTCGTTATCTTGCTCTGGCCCTTGCTCTGGCCCCTTAAAGACATACACATCGGGTGGAACAGTGATGAACCTTTACATTTAAAGAAACCATTCAACATTTATATGTCTAGCTGTCCTTTGTCAACAACAAATTGTCACTGTTTTTTGTATTGAATATATGCTATATGGTAATTTATGGACTAAAGGAACCCTAACCATTAGGTCCAGTCGTGACCAGCTCTGGGGTTGTGCGCTCATCGCACTTTATTGGATGAGGGAGCCGGCGTACAGCTTCCGGGTCTTGTGGCCAGCATGACTAAGCTGCTTCTGGCGTACCAGAGCAGCGCAGGGAAACGCCATTTACCTTCCCGCCGGAGCAGTATCTATTTATCTACTTGTACTTTTGACGTGCTTTCGAACTGCTAGGTTGGCAGAAGCATGGACCAAGCAACGGGAGGTCACCCCGTCGCAGGGATTCGAACCGCCGACCTTCTGATCCACAAGTCCTAGGCTCTGTGGTTTAACCCACAGTGCCACCCGCGTCCCATTTATGGACCTAATAGGTATCTAAAGCCATTTGCACATAACAAAATATGTATTTTATCAACGTAATTGTTGAACTTATCTTATGTTTTGGAAATGTACATCCTTTAAATTTTTGGAAGGCCCCCAAGAGAATGGGGCCCTAAACTATAGTTTGTTTAGCTTATACGTAAATCCTGCACTGACAATCCTAACAAATGTTTCTGAGCACCTTTGGAGCAGTTCATCTTGCTTTTTGCAGCTTTTTATGAGGCTGAATTATTCTCCCTGACCCTTCACCCCCTAGCACTCCTGGGCCAGGAGTCTCTCGCATGGATTTTCTCAATCCAAAGATACAGGACAGAAGCTCTTATCCTTCACCCCCACCCTTTTCCTAGCACGCACAACCGTCACTTAAGAAGGCTCTGGTTTGTCTGCAATTTACTCTTCGCTCTTATTTCTTCCTTTCTGGTCTGCGATTCCAGTTAAGATATTTCCAGCGTCAAATTTAATCCAGCCTGCAATTTCCAAGAAGGACAGAACAGCACTTCAAACGCGGAGGATTGCTCTGAAGAGCCTATCTGGTCTTAACTACCTGCTGCCACCCAAATCTGGAGCCCAGCTGCGGGGAAGAGTTTGCGACGTGATGGCACTGATAACAGATTCCATTGTTGCTGCAGCGTTTGAGATGAAAGATGCTTCAGTTTGGGATCGTTTGTGGATTCAGTGCGCCACTTTTGTGCCTCCCGCATTGCCATTTGACTAGTCTGAGCAACTTTCCAGAAAGGTACATGTTCCAAAGCTATCACACACCTGACAAAACACACACAGGCACCTAGCGATGTTTCTTTTTGTGTGTACAGACGCTAAATAAATAGCATTTTGCTGGGCCATAAGAGAGCCCTGCTGGATCAAGACAAAGGCTCATCTAGTCCTGTTAGTGGTGTGGCAAATTGTAGGGCAGTTTTTCTATGTTCCATACCCTCTACCCCTCACACTCCTCTATCACCAACCAGGTGTGCGGGCATGCAACTTAATCCCATCCAAAAATATCAAGAGTCTGGAAGCATCCTGAGCGGCATGTTGCCAGTTATTCCTACAAAATAAGCAACAGTATGGAGGGGCTGAATTCAGCTGCCTTTAAATAATGTGCTGAGAATGAATGAATTTTGTTTAATGAAGTTAACTGATTTAGTTCAGAAATCTCTCAAGTACATCTCAAAGTCGTTCCCATAGTTACCGGATGAATGGACTGAATTAAGTTCATCCTGATAGACCTTTGGACAATTTTAGTTCTAATTCATTCTTACATGTGTGTTTTTTACTTTTCAGATTCTTTGGGTCTATAAGCTTAATTGTTGGGGGGGAATAAACAACTCACCTTGCAGGCTCTGTGCGTTCTGATGTTTTTTTAGTCTTCTTAAGTATAATTTCGTTTTCAGCACAACAGCTTGCAACATCCCAAATGTGGAATCCCTACCTGCCCCCCCTTAGGATCATTTGGATAAACTGAGAAATAAACTAGTTCCTTTTCCAAAGGGATGAACATGAGCTGGAATGTGTTCCTTTTTTGGATGTGTCAAACATGAAGGAGGACTATTTTGTTTCCCAAGAGGGGCTGTTCACGCTCTGCTTTCGCCGCAGGGAGGGATGCCGCTGTATCTGAAGAGCAAAAAAGAGATATTTGGGATCCGCACGTTCTTTTATCATCTGCTTTTGTGACAACAAGGCTTGTCGAGAAGGCTTTCAGAGAGAGGTTAATACACTCTTAGCAGGCTAAAAGGCTATCTCCTTTGCCAAAGTGACAATAGGCTAAGTGACACCTGGCATTTCACAATGCAAGATTCATTGTTAGATGGCGGTACTTTTTCTAATGGATTGCCCAATAGCAAAAGTGCTACAGGACTCTGCTATTGTTAGGTGGCGTGTATATATATCTCTCTCTCTCCTGGCTGCTGACAAGGAACATCTCCCTGTAAGCTGCGTTTGCTGAGGATTTAGCCCACACAAGTGAAACTTAATAGCATCTCATTTGAAAGGCCACAAAGCAGCAAGGAAAGCGGGGTTTGGGGTGTATTGATACAGCAACATCAAAGTATGCAGTGCTTTGCAGAGTGACCAGCAAAAACAAAAAGGATCCCTGCCCCCAAGTGCTTCCAGTCTAAATTCAGTCCAGCCAGGTGGGCGGGGAGAGAGGCAGCAAAGGAGGTGCAAATGAAAGAAGATGGCCAGGCAGGAATATGTAGACATGCAGTTACTCACTTGGGGATAAATAATAATCCAAGAGAAGGAATGTCAGTGGTGGCTGGCGCCCTTTGCAACTGATAGGGCAGAAGGCAAGGAGGCCAACAGTAGGTGGCGCCAGAGTGAATGTGAGACAGAACCAAGTCATTCTCGGTTTGCCAGCACCCTCTTCCTCCCAGCTGGGTTGTATAAGGGGCAAAACAGACTTAGGAGGAGGAAGCTGGCAGCTAGTATCATACTCTGGGCTGGTTGGAAGCCGGTGGATGGGGGCCGGCTGAGCACAGACTGGAGTCAGAGGGGCAGCATAGCTTTCCATTTCAAAATCTTTAGAATATTAAAGGAGTGTGTGTGTGTGTGTGTGTGTGTGTGATTTACAAACCAGAAGAAGCAAAAATAATAATATTAACACGCACAAGCAAAAACACAGCATGCAAAAAAATAATCTCCAAGTATTTCTTATTGTTATGTCATACTTTATAAAACAGCTGCAGCAAAGAGAGAAAGGGGGCATTAAAAAGACAAAGAAAAAAATCAGCTTACATTTATAATGCAATAATCAACAAGTAAAAGACAAGTACTTGTAAATAATAATAACTTACTTCTTTTAAAGTGGCATCAGTTCTCCCCAAACTGTAGTGACGTCAAAGGCCAAAAAACCACCACCACCACAGCCAGGGGTGGAAAGTTAGAAATAGTTTATTTTCAGACATAAGCATGAAGGCACAGATGTGTTAAAACACTGAGTCTGCGCACCATGCTGAGGCATGAAGCTCATAGTTACAGGTTTTTCTACAAAGTGTCACGTGTGCACTACATGTTATGAGTAGGCATTACTTCCTGAGGCATCACCAGAACATGTGTACGATGCTCCTATCTTCATTCAACCATGCCATGGCAACTTGGAACTTTGAATCAAAGTTGCATTGTTTAGCTAATTCTACTATCCCATATAAATGTTACATTCCTTCCTGCCCACCTTATCAAGCTGTCTTGGAATCAGGTGAGTTACTATTCTTCTGCTTTGCCTCAAGTCCTGTAGCTCTGCCAATACACCTCAAGCCTTGCACATACCCCTCAACCTTTCTGTTATGAAAATAAGGAAAAGGGGGACATTCCGGGATCAAATCAGAAACCGGGACAGCTTCTGTAAATCCGCGGCTGTCCCTGGAATATAGGGATTATTGGAGGGTCTGCTTGCAGCTTGGGGGGGGGGGAGGTTAAGCTTGCAAAGTGAAATATACAGTGGTACCTCAGGTTACACGGGACACGGGTGGCACTGTGGGTTAAACCACAGAGCCTAGGACTTGCCGATCAGAAGGTCGGCGGTTTGAATCCCCGTGACGGGATGAGCTCCCGTTGCTTGGTCCCTGCTCCTGCCAACCTAGCGGTTCGAAAGCACATCAAAGTGCAAGTAGATAAATAGGTACTGCTCCAGCAGGAAGGTAAACGGCGTTTCCGTGCGCTGCTCTGGTTTGCCAGAAGCAGCTTAGTCATGCTGGCCACAGGACCCGGAAGCTGTACACCGGCTCCCTCGGCCAATAAAGCGAGATGAGCGCCGCAACCCCAGAGTCGGTCACGACTGGACCTAATGGTCAGGGGTCCCTTTACCTTTTTACCTCAGGTTAAGTACTTAATTGGTTCCAGAGGTCCGTACTTAACCTGAAACTCTTCTTAACCTGAAGCACCACTTTAGCTAATGGGGTCTCCTGCTGCTGCTGCACCGCTGGAGCACGATTTCTGTTCTCATCCTGAATCAAAGTTCTTAACCTGAAGCACTATTTCTGGGTTAGCCGAGTCTGTAACCTGAAGCGTATGTAACCTGAAGCGTATGTAACCCGAGGTACCACTGTACTCGGAGTCGAGAGTGGATTTCATGCTCTTTATTCAGCTCATAGTGGTGAGGAGGAATGGAAGTTCCCCCAGAAGGTCTGCTTTATATACATTATTTACACAATGGGCCCCACGTGATTGGCTAATTCCAGGATTCTCCTGTAGGCCAATCAGGTTGCGGATTCACTTCCACCTGGAGCTCGATTGGGTGGTTCCTGTGGACCAATCAGACTGCTGCATTCTGGGTCCTATTGTTCTAGGACCAATCAGACTGCTGCATTTTGGATCCCATTGAACTCAGTACATAACAGAAAGAATAGGAAAATATATTTTATTCACAAGGGGGGCACAGGGAGAAGCGAAAAACCTAAGTTTTAAAGATAGGAAAAGGCTCTTTGCGCTTTGACCCTATTCACATCAAAACCAAATCCCACCCTTTCAGCCTCACAGCTTCTAAACGCCTGCGAGCTCTTCTTTCCTTTTCTCTTATGCTAGAACCCAGCTGCAAAGCGACTTTGTTCTGCAGCTCCACAACTCTGGCTGTTAACTGTGACTTCCACGGCCATCATTTGGCCACAAACAATGCCAGGCCCTTTTAGGAGGAAACTGCAGGGACAAAGCCTAGAGTAGTTGTCCCTTCACAATAGCAGCTCCCTAACATGACGGAATTGATCAGCCAGCTGTTGGTTCCTTAATTTATGCACATTTAACTCAACACATTTAATTCTCAAAGATTATTGATAGGCCCTCCCCAGATTATTATTTTTTTGTTGCAGGATGCAAAAGGTAGAATGACTAGCAGCCACTGCCCTCTGCTGGGTGGAATTGAAACTGCATCAAATTATCTGAGGTTTTCTTCCCAGTCCCTTACAGTGAGCGAGGTGGCAACCTCAAGGGGGTGGCGGAGGCAGGCCTTTGTCGACCCCGAGCAACTGAATGAGGGTGTCAGAATGCAAGCTTTAATAGAAGAGGAGGTTTCTGCAAGTATTCTTTGCATGACTAGAAGCCTGGGTCACTTCACTGGTGACTTCAGGGTTGGATTACTGCAATGGGCTCTGTATGGGGCTCCCCTTGCGCTTGATCTGGAGACTGCAGTTAGAGCAGAATGCTGCAGCGCAGTTGCTGACAGGAATGAGACCCTGCCAAATTATTGCACCCCTGCTCACAGATCTGCATTGGTTCCCCATTTGCTACTGGGCCAAATTTAAGGCGTTATCACTGGTGCACAAAGTCCTTAACAAGAGGCAAGCAGACGCCCTCATCTGCCCCGGCTGCAACGAAGCATGTCTCTCCTGTATCGTTCTCTGCAGTCGCAGCAGGTGCTGTAACTCTCCAACGGTTTGACTTCACCCACAAAGGCGCTCTCTTCCATTGTTTTCCAAGACACACGGATGGTGACAATATCTGCACTGTGCAAAGCAGCGACATGCTGATTTAAACAGCCATTGCTTTCCCTGAAGCATCCTGGGAACTGTAGTTTGTTAAGCATGCTGAGAATAGTTAGGAGACCTTTATTTACTTTAAAAGGTAAAGGGACCCCTGACCATTAAGTCCAGTCGTGGCTGACTCTGGGGTTGCAGCGCTCTTCTCGCTTTATTGGCCAAAGGAGCCAGCGTACAGCTTCCGGGTCATGTGGCCAGCATGACTAAGCCGCTTCTGGCGAACCAGAGCAGCGCACGGAAACGCCGTTTACCTTCCCGCCGGAGCGGTACTTATTTATCTACTTGCACTTTGACGTGCTTTCGAACTGCTAGGTTGGCATGAGCAGGGACCGAGCAACGGGAGGTCACCCCGTCGTGGGGATTCAAACCACTGACCTTCTGATCAGCAAGTCCTAGGCTCTGTGGTTTAACCCACAGCACCACCCACATCCTCTTATTCACTTTGCAGGGCTACAATTCCCAGAGTTCCCTGGGAAGAGAATTGGATGGTTAAACCACTCTGGGAACTCCACATACCGGGTCAAGTTCAAGGTGATACTATTAGTATATAAAGCCCTTAACAACTTGGGACCAGTTTACTTACAAGATTAAACCACAAGGTTAAATCACAGAGCCTAGGGCTTGCCGATCAGAAGATCAGCAGTTCGAATCCCCCTGACGGGGTGAGCTCCTGTTGCTCGGTCCCTGCTCTTGCCAACCTAGCAGTTCGAAAGCATGTCAAAGTGCAAGTAGACCTTACCCCATATGTGCCCACTCAAGCGCTTCCATTGGCAGAATTCGCACTTTTGCAAGTGCCACATAATACCTGCACCAGTCATTATAGTGTGGCCGCACTGGCACTTTGGAACTCCCTGCCTCTTGAGAAGAGGCCAGTGCCTTCACTGTTTTCTTTTTTGCACCTGCTAAAAACATTCTCATTTAGACAACCCTACCCAGATTTTTTGTAATTTTGTAGGAGTTTTAATTTGTTTCAGTCTATTCTATTGCGGTTCTAACCTTCTATAAGTTTTAAACTATGGTTGTAACCTTTTAGTGATAATTTTATTGTTTTATCTTTTTTTGTAAACCACGTTGAGGGTTTTTTCTACAATCAATCAGTATATAAGTTTTATTAAATAACTAAATAAATTTTAAAGCAGCACAGAATGATTATGATTATTTTTATGCTGTCTGTTACTATGGTTTATGTTATTTTTATTATGCTCTGTAAAATATGTTTTTAATAATGTACACTGCCCTGAGATCTTTTAATAAAGGGTGGAACAGACATTGAATTAATAACAGCAACAATAATAATTTTAGATAAGCTAACCATAAACTTCAGGATGAACTAAAACAACTAGCAAATGGGAACCTTAACTACTACTCGCAGATCCGAAACACAGAAATACAGCAGAGGCCACACACACAGTCCCAACATGTGTTGCATGCATTTATAGCAGAGCTTTCCAAACTCTGTGTTGTGACACATTAGTGTGTTGGCTGCAGTGTTGCGCAAACACTCCCTGTGCTCCTCCTGGGGCTGGAAAAGGGTTGGTTTAAGTGCCAGTTTGCTAGTAAAACTGAATTACTGTGTCCCGAAACATTTTCTAATGTCTACTGTTCTTTTTTTTTCTTTTTCTTTTTTGAATAATTTTATTGAAAATTTAAACAAAACATATTACCCAAAACATATCATCCTTAGTTTTTTCCCATTTTTCCTCCCTCCCCCCACCCTCCCACACAACCACATACACACACCCGACTTCCCTCAGTTCCAGTCTTTGGTTTCTCTGTGAATGCTGTTCTCTGCATGTTACAAAGTTGTATAAATCCTTAAATTATTTAACTGATTATTGTGTTACCGGAAAAATCCGAGGGCTCCCTTGGACAAAAACAAAGACACCAACCAGGATAACTTGGAGCAAAACAGCAGCCTGTAGGCTTGGCCTTTATTGAACTGTTGCAACAGGGTGTTCCCCTCACTTGCAAGAGAGAGGAAAGACCCAGAAAGATGGTGTGCAAGACCTTATAAAAACTTTTGAAATTCGCATCCTCTAGGTCAAGCCCACCCAGAAACATCATGCATACATTACAGAAAGGAGGGGTTGAGGGAGGAGTTGTGGTGGTAACCTGAGTGTCCTGTCACCTGGCTGGTTCCTCCTTTCCCCCTCCCCATGAGTCACTTCCAGGAGACAAGGGGAGTTGGCAGTTTCCTGCCCCCAGAGGGAAGATCTGATCATTGTCCTTTGTTTCAGTCCATGCTGAATCCACTCCCATATGCAAGTTCTTTGTGATCTTGATGGTCTTCTGTCTAGGACCATCAGGGTTGGCATAGCAACTGGGCAGGGCTCCTGTGGATGTGCTGGGATGGTGAAGGGATTATGGCTGACCAAAACCAAGCCATCCCCCTTTGATAGTCCTTGTCATATGGAGTAAAATAAAAATGGAACAGTGCAAATCCGATGTATGGTTGATTTTTCTATGAATTTATAACAGAAGTGTGGCATATGTAGTGTGTGAGTGTGAGTGTGTGAAGTTTGTACAAACTGAATGATTGGGGTGGGGGGTTCCTGCTACAATTGTCAATAAAAAGTT